ACTTTCTCAACGCCCTTACGAAGGGAAGAAACAACATTGTATGGCGCCGTTGGTGGGAATGTCGTGAGTGCAATGTCGTGAGTGTGTGTCGCGTATTCCCAACAAACGATTTTGATGGGTGTGGTACATGAGCGTGGGACGAGCGTGGGATGAGCCCAGGATGAGTTCGACAGGATCGATAAGAGATGGATTTGGCGCGCACTGGACTCGTACCGGGTAAACGATGGTGGGCCCAACGGTTGGCCGTGGGAGCCCAGTGCAATTGAAGTTGGGTTTGATAAAGAAAAAAGTACAAGGTTACCCGGAAAAGCAGTTTGTTGTCGAGCCTAGTAAAAAAAGTTTTTAGGTTATTTTTGTATATGAAGTAGGAATACAATCGATAATACTTTGTTGGACCAGTAGCTGGATAATGATTTCCAGCTAGCAATATGGTTGTGGTTCTTGATAGTCTATAGGCAGGTCCTATTTAGTAATAAACGAACATGAATATGTGCATTTGTAGTATATAGACACCAAAACGTAAGCCTTCTCATCTACCCTGATTATATTCGGTTATTTTCAGTTTAAATTGGTTTAAGAGAACACTACGACTTTGGGATATTGATACGATCGTTTCCACCCCATTTGATTGCCTTGTGCATTTGCGTGTCAAAATGGGACTATTATACGATATACATTGTAATTGAGCTAGAAGAGTAGGTAATTGTGAGTAAGAGATAGATGAAATTTTCTCTGGTATGAAAAGATATGGATGTGATGCTACTAAGAGATAGAATAGACTTGTCTGTAGAAGATGAACCGATTTTGATTGATAATTGCAAAAATTCAATATAATTGCGAACGCGACGTATAAACGTTAAACATTTTATCGCCGATATACTTCTAAAAGAGCGTAGTCCGGAGAACGGCTACAATTTTCAATGTGGGCCTGGATCCAATTCAATTACTCTACTGTAATCTCCTCCTAGAGTCGCAGACGGACTCCGTGTTCCTCAACTGGAATGTAACATGCTATATTAGCCTTCACATGACATCACTGTTATTCACCACTATAGTCATGCACAACCAGACGCATAACTGAACCACTGTATTTTCTGTAACCGATCATTCATCATGACATCCAGTTCCATAAATTAGTCACCGATGCATGGGTCCCCAATCCACGAATCACGTGATCTTATCATGTCTTATCTTAACCATTCGCTATCTATAATATAAACAAAAACGTTATTAAACACATTTTATTCTCTAAACACCACACTACACTACAATATACCAGGATACACACATACTAGCGTATATAAAAGAACGAAAGTAATACTACTCGCTTGTTTAGGACTAGAACCATAATTCTAGCAAAAGCACGTCCTAATATATTTACATCAAGAGAAAAATGCCAGAATACACGAATGATCAGGTAAAGATAAATAAAATGTACGTATAGGAAATCAATTGAGGAAATAGAGGGCAATTATTAACGTATAAAAAGCCATGCTACTCCAAGAAAAGGATATAAATTAGGTACCGCATCTGCGACATGGGAAAAGATTAAACTGGCTACTACCACAAGTAGTAGTGATAGCCTAGGCGGCAATAATGAAGAAGAAGACGAGAAGCGCAATTTTTTTGAACCAGGTGAAAATGGTGAAATGTTGATCGTATACCCAAAATCTAATCTTCTAGAGGTCTGGGATTGGGTTCCTCCGAGCCACGCGAAGGTTACCACAAAATGTAGTGGGGATACTTTGTACCTTCAGGGCCAGTACACGTTGTCAATTCCACCATCAGGCCCACCGGATTATGGATTTAAATACACCACTAGTGCCTTATTACCAGAAGAATCAAAAGAAGATGTTTCACGGACAATAGAAGCGGTTAAAATCTTGAATGGGACAGTAGAGGAGGGGCATACCATTTTAGTTTTGAGTAAAACCAAAAACTTGCCCCTTCCCTATGCGTTAGAAGTTCATTTACTTGGAAAATCAAATGAAACGTCAATTCAACAGATTTTAGAGTTGCCATACGTAATGCAGGAATCTGAGAGCGAACTTGAATTCACTATTAAAGCAAATGATAACTTTATGGTTGTTTCCAATAACGAGGGATTCTTGTATTTATTTAAGTTTGATGGAGAAGAATACCGTCCTGCTAATTTTGATTTGAATTTACTGTCAATAAGGAAAAACTCCTGTCAACCGATTATAAACCAGGATCGTTTATCGTCGAAATTAACTGATGAGGAAATATTATTGAAGACAAGTTGTTTCGATAGAAAGCCAATTTTTGACATAGTTGGTAATTGGTTAGTCTATTCACCAACAAAATTTGAATACGACCATTTAAAAGTTATCAACAATACTAATAACAAGTTGGCCAATGAATTTGAGAATGAAGATATTGATCCAATTTCATCTTTTACAGTCAAGGGAGGCAACCGGAAGCATGGATCCATTTTCACCCCTGTACGGTTACCGCCTCCAGGACCTCTTTTAAACAGAGTTATATCTACATTGTCTAACAATGCACTAGATGGATTATTTAAGTTATCAGAAGTCGGTTCTACTAGATTAAAGGCCTATTTAAACAAGGACAAGGAAAAAGTGGTTGCAAAAAATGAACAGGATATGGCTCAATCTTTAAATTCAATCAGTAAAACAATTGGCAAGGCTTTATACTCAACCGCTTCCAACACTGTAACCACGATCCAGAAAAAGACGATGGCTTTACAACCAAACAATAATCAGCTTATAAAGATAATTGATTTATCAAACGATAAAATAATAGGGATTTTCAAACCACCAGGAGGAGTTTCAAACTTATCACTTTCACCATTTGACTTGCAATTAGTTCATTCAAGCTATAGGGGTGATAACTTCTTCATGTGGGATTTGTATAAATTGCCTAATGAAATATCGTTGATTGGAAAGTTTAATAGAGGTAAAACATCAGCTATCATAAAGGAAATATTTTGGTTTATAAGCAACTACGATAGCACCAACATTATACAAGGTAATAATTTGGGGTTTGGATGTATAACAAAAGCAACTGGATCAGTACATTGGTTCAACATAAATTATTTGTCGGGCGATTTGACTAATAATTATCCTAACAATCTTACTAAAGATAATCTGGAAGATGTACCACCGAAAGGACAATTTTTGGATTCGTGGGTTTTATCATCTATTAACGCCACTAAATTTACATCATTACCTAACATTGCAAACAATATTAATAACAAGTACAAATCGGATTCGAAGTTTAACATTAATCAATTGGCAATATTAGACAATAATGATCAAATTAAACTTATTTCTCCCCTCAATGGTAATCATCTTTTCAAGTATGAATTGCCAAAGACAGAAGTGGATGAAGAAACAATATTCGAAAACAACTTAAATGCAATTGATAAATCGTCTTTTGATACACAGTCCCCTGAAGTAGACTCGATCACACCTCTATCACAAGCCGAGATCGAAACCTGTGGCCCGTATTTGAATTTGGTAAATAACAAGAATATTCAATTCTCGACCTACAACTTTGATGACGATTCACAACCTGACTATGAAAATTTCTTGAAGGAATATACCGAATTTGGAAACAATATTCCTGTTACAGAATTAAAATTTAAGAATGAAAGACAGAAGAGTTCAATCGAACCTTTATTATCCGATTTTTCAGAAGGACTAGTTATGGATCAAGAAAACTTAGACTCATCCATGAAGGATACAAGCCAAGAGTCGTTGGATTAGTGCACAGATCTCAATCGGCCCTTCAGAATACACTTTACGAAATGCAGCATACTAAATTATTTATTAAATATGGATGGCCAATATATAGAACTACTGCTCGTATTTATTTCTCAGAATTTATACCTAAATTTCATGCCGAATTGAATGTATATTATTAATTCTCTTGTGTATTATCGTACGAATGTCCAACCAAATCTCATACTTTCACCAACTTGCTACTAACGCTTACTTCTTCCACTAACCTTAAAAAAACATTCTGATAAGTTCTAAGATGGCACCACCACATACTAAAAATAATAATACAAATAACCAGCTTCTGGAAACTGGAAATTCTGTTTTCTTACTAACGTTTCTTGGTTTACCTTGTTTCTTTGTATTCTGTTTAGCCCATTTTGCATTGGCTGCCCTTTGCTTAGGTGTTTGTTGTGCCTGTAATTATTAGTATATAATTCAACATATCTTTTCTTATAGTTCCATTACGTACCATGATTAGGATGATGTTAATTCTTACAGAATATATACTTTGAATGTAACTAGATCAATGAAAAATGATACACGTATTCGTTCGCGATATTCAGGAAAATAAAGAAGGCAATAGTCAGACTCGAGCCCGAGACATTAAAATTTTTAGCACTAACCATTGACATGTGCGTACAACTATAAACATGTCTATTTTGCAACCTGAGGTCCTTAATCTTAAGAAAGAACAGTTGATTGGGGTTTACATAGGATTTATGATTAGTTTTCAAGGCTAGACTTCAACAATAAATTATGTGGTTTATTCCAGGTGACATAAATGGAAGTTTTCTTATTTATACACGCTTATACACGCGCTCAATAGCATAGAATACAATTCCTCAAGGTGGACATTGCACACTTCGGATGATAATAAATGAAATATCAAAGACGGTCCCCGAGTTAATCTATCCTGTGATAATGGATAGTGGATTTTGATCTCAAATGTAGTGTAGAATAATAATATACCGAATTATTGGTCTCCGCCTTCGAATGGACCTCGGTTCATCAGTTTTGTATAAATTCCTCGCCTACCCCAGGAACCGGAGAGCTCAGCACAAAAAATTTCATTGAAACTGTCAAATATATTGTAAATAAAGATATAACGAATATGGCTGCTTTATTTAATGAATCTCAGGAACAGGTCTTCAGCTTATTGCTGAAGAATTTGCCCCTCGACCCAATGAAATTATGTGATTCGGTTCCATTACCAAACAGTGCTAAACCAGGATTTTCACCTGTCTACAGAAACAAGTTTAGTCCAGATAGATTGATCGAAAATCCTCATCCCTCTTTGAATACTTTGAAGAAAATAATGGAATATGCGGAACATACATATGCGGATGAGCAATGTTTTGGTAAGAGAAACGAATTAGAAGATGGTTCGTTCGGACCTTTTGAATGGGAAAGTTATTCACAAGTCATTCAGAGACAACGTAACTTCGGTGCTGGTCTATTTTTCATTTTACTGAACAACCCATTCAAGACTGATTCTCCAGCCCACTTGAAAATTGATAATCATTTCACTAAAAGCAGCGATGATTCATTCGTGGTGTCGATTTTTTCACATAACAAGCCAGAATGGGTTATCGCTGATATGGCATGTGTCAATTATTCTATCACAAATACAGCTTTGTATGACAGTTTGGGACCTGAATCATCGAAGTATATCTTGGAATTAACAGAAAGTCCTATTGTTATTTGTACTAAAGATAAATTGCAACAAATAATTCAATTGAAAAAATCATATCCAAATGAATTATCCAATTTAATTAGCATTGTATCTATGGATCTGTTAGATTTGGCGCACACAAGCTCCACCGATTATCAAACACTCTTATTAGCAAAGGAATGTAATGTTAGTTTGTTCGACTTCCAGCAAGTTGAGAAACTTGGTGAAATTTATCCAGTGCATAATATTCCATCTACTCCAGAAACTATCTATACCATCTCGTTTACATCAGGTACTACCGGTGCAAATCCTAAAGGGGTTGTATTAACCAACCGTAATGCTGTCAGTGGTACTACGTTCTGTATTACAAATACCATCGAGAATAAAAAGTTGAAGACGCTTTGTTTCTTACCATTGGCACATATTTATCAGAGACAAAGTGTTTATTTTGCTCTATTCCAGGGGGTTGCAATGGGATTTCCGCAATCTTCTTCGCCCTTAACTTTATTAGATGATATTAAAACATTAAAGCCAGACGTTTTGAATTTGGTTCCAAGAGTCTACACGAAAATTGAAGCAGCAATTAAAGCACAGACTACCCACAACAACGAAAAACCAATGTTAAAAGCAATTTTCTCTAAAGCTATCAATAAAAAAATTGAATTACAAAGCCAAGAAGATGGAGATGAGGGTAGCCATATTGTGTATGACAGAGTATTATCCCTTCTTCGTAAGAAGCTCGGCTTTGATAATTTAAGTTTATTTACAACAGGCTCGGCTCCAATATCTTCTGATACTGTAAAGTTCATAAAGGCGGCATTCAACACAGGATTAGCTCAAGGTTACGGTTCTACAGAGTCATACGCTGGCATTTGTTGTTCATTAAGGTACGAAGCCAACCCTGGCTCATGTGGTGCGATTGGTGTTACAACTGAAATGAAGTTGCGGGATATTCCAGAAATGAACTATTTAGCAAGCGATGAGGGAGGACCAAGAGGTGAATTATTGATTAGAGGTCCACAAATCTTTAAAGAATATTATAAGAATGAAGAGGAGACCAAAAAATCCAAGGATGAAGAAGGCTGGTTTTACACTGGAGATATTGCTAGAATCGATGCCACTAATGGAAGGTTGTACATTATTGATAGAGTTAAGAATTTTTTCAAATTGGCTCAAGGTGAATACATCACACCTGAAAAGATTGAGAATAGTTATCTTTCGTCATTTCCATCTCTTCAGCAATTATACGTCCATGGTGATTCCCTACAAACATTCCTTCTTGCAGTTGTTGGTGTTGAACCTGAACCTATTAAGAAATGGTTGGAAACTAAATGCAACATAAAGCAAAGTGAGTTATCCTCAAATGATGCAATTGTTAAATGCATCAATAAGAAAGAAAATAAGACTACGTTCTTGCGTGAAATGAATGAGTCGATTGGAAACTCTTTACAAGGATTTGAAAAAGTTCATAATTTATACATCGATATCGAACCCTTGACCATTGAAGCCAATGTTCTTACTCCAACTTTGAAGATCAAAAGACCAATTGCTTCTAAGTATTTTAGAAGCGAGTTTGATAGACTATACGAAGAAGGTTCTTTGATTAGTAAGAACTCTTCGAAATTTTAGATTTTTATGTTATAGGGAAATAATTTATCTCTTTTTGATTTTTTTACTTATTTATCTAACAACCTCTACATTAGAATGAAAATTTCAAATGTACATTCAGTATAAATATGTAAATATACCTAAATATACTTATAAGGATTCATGATTCCATTTGGATCATAGTGATTTTTTAAATCCTTCATTAATTTAATTTCAATGTCATTCTTAGAATAGCCAATATAGTTTTTCTTTTGAAAGCCTAAGCCATGTTCAGCAGAAATAGAACCTTTTTTAGATTGGATCCACTCATATACAAATGGTTCTAAAACATTCTCGATTTCTTTAGAATATTCCCTAACTGCAACATTCAAATGTAAATTACCATCACCTATATGACCGTAGCCAATAGCTTCAACAACAGGCTTCGAATCATCATCAAAGTCAACCAAGTTGGCTTCCTTTAATTTGGCACTTGCTGCATCAACTAATCCATATAAGTCAGATAACGGTAATGAAACATCATATTTGTAGACACCACCTCCAATTGTCGAAGCCTCAGGAATAGACTCTCTCCATGACCACAAACTTTGTAATTGGGTCTCATCTTGCGCAATAATACCATCATCAACTAATCCATCTTCCATTGCTTTCTCTAAGAAACCTTCTAACTTTTCATCATCATGTTCCTTGGTTGAACCACTAGTTTCGATCAAAACATAGAATGGATATTCACCACTTTCAATTGGATGATCTGCCTTCAAATGACGTGCTGTTAAAAGCTGAGATTTACCATCCATGAACTCGAATGCTGATAAAATCTCGGATAATTCACGACGAGCACCAACAAAAACTTTCTGAACGGCTTCATATGAGGAAACTGCTAAAAATGCAACGTTGAACACTTGCGGTCTGGACGGGCATAAAATAGAGACACCCGTAATTACACCCAAGGTACCTTCAGAGCCAATAAATAATTGCTTTAAATCATAGCCAGTATTATCTTTTCTCAACGAATTCATAGAATTGTAAATAGTTCCATCAGGTAAAACTGCTTCCAATCCTAAAACACTACCATGCAAGGACCCATATTTCAACAATCTTAAACCACCTGCGTTAGTTGCAACATTACCACCAACATGGCACGAACCTTTGGCTCCTAAATCCAAGGGAAAAATATAGCCTTTCTCAGCTAAAGCATTGTCTGCGTTTTCTAAAATTAAACCAGCATCACACTTCAAAATACCACTGACTTCATCAAAGGATCTAATCTTATTCATACTAGCTAATGAAATGATAATTTCATCAAAGATAGGGTTAGATCCTCCAACTAATCCAGTATTACCACCTTGGGGCACAACTGCCAATTTTTTGTCGTTACAGTACTTGATGATTTGAGAAATTTGTTCCGTGGTCTTAGGTCTCAATACCAACTTCGATTGACCTTTATATTTTCTCATCCAATCCTCATTGTAGAATTCTATGTCTTCTTCCCCAGTAATAACACCATGTGGATCTTGTAAAACTGAATGGAAGAATTCTATGTCTGACTCTTCTAACTGCTTAAATCTTTCATCACGTTTCACCTTGTCACTGTAAGTTTCAGCTGTTAAAGGGACTGCCTTGGTAGAATAAGCACTAACTCTAATATTGAGTTTTGGTGAATTTTTGAAAAACCTAGGGACTTGTGTACGAGCTGATACGCCAGCAACTAAGCCTTTTGCACAAAGCAAACCTCTTCTGGCACCAATCATATTGTGAATTCGTGTACAACGTAAGAACAAGATATACAGATTAGATAGTAGTCATAGTCGTGAAGTGAAAAATATTAGCCAGAGTCACATGATTATATTAATATTTTATTTAAATCAATTATGTATGGTTGACGGTAGGAACTAAACTATAGAGTACCACTCTTACGTAGACTATCTAGGGATGCATTGATTATGTGTCTAAATCGCAGGGAACCTAGAGGGCTGCCACCGTACCAGCGAGTGACAATCACCAATATATTTATTAGGTTATGGTGCACTAAGACCTGTTGTAGTAATTTTGACCCGGCACCTTTTTCGCCATTATCTTTAAAACCCTGACTGATATTATGATACTTAACCTCTTTCCCAGTTTCATGGTCTGTTAGGGGTTCTTTTCGTTTTTTGGATTTGGGATGTGTTGGTGGAGGTAGTACCTGGGAAATTTGGCCAGTTCTCCATGCTATTATATGCGGATGGCTCGAACGGGAGATATTCTTGTGGTCCTGTAATAGTTGTTCCAATATAACGGGTATTTCCTGTTCGTCGGTGATTGGGACATGTCTTGCTTGAAATTTGGACTTTCTATCTGTGATTACTTCTGAGGCATACCATTCAGTGATTCGAGTTCGATATCGTACAGAAACAAAATTGAGCAAGACGGACATTCTCAGTTTGCTGCAAACAGTGTTTGCAGCAGCTCTGGTACTATGGATCATGGAATATCGTAAATCAATGCCTCTCTAGTCTTCCATTAAGTCCCATCCCAGGCTTATTGTACAATGTCGTCAAGCATTGAATGTCTCATGACGACATTGTTGCAAGTTAAAATGTTTACAAAAACCCTAGTACTATGGGGTCTAAAAACCGGACATGAACCAATATTTGAGTTCTAGCCCAATCGTGTGGCTGAAACTGTAATGTTTGAAAGGTCCGATCTGAAGGGAAACTAAGGCATAGTGAATTTTGCAACTCCCTCGTACGGGCGGGCCATTAATACCGTAGAACTGGAAAATTCACTTTGAGATCAAGAATGTTAACTATTTTCTTTCATGCTGTTATATAATTGATCCTTTGATTCCTAACTAGATCATTATTTCGGTATCTAACAGTAGCCATTCCATTCGAAATTTATATTTGGACCTAAACTGTAAACACCTTTCAGTAAAATATTTTGCAGGTTACTTACTTAGACGTGTTTTTTTTTGCACGACGAAATATCAACAAGATCGAATAAACAATATTCCTTTAATTAACCGTTGACTTACATCGATTATCATAATGTCAGGATACAGCTATTCACAGGATCCGAATGCATCGTCGTCAGCTTTGCGTAAGAGAAAAACTCTCAAGAAATCCATTAACTTTTCAGTAATGATAGTTGGAGAGAGTGGATCAGGACGTTCGACTTTAATAAATACTCTTTGTGGGGGGAATTCAATCGTGCCATGTTCCCTGACGGTTAACCAAGATCCGTTTACTAAGAAGTTAACATTGAGACATGAAAACGTCGAATTGGAAGACAATGACGGTCATAAAATTTCGTTAAATATTATTGACACTCCAAATTTCGCCAACCTGATCAACTGTGACGAAGACTTCAAATTGATTGTTGACTTTATAAGACATCAATACGATGAAGTGTTGTTGGAAGAATCTCGTGTGAGACGTAATCCTCGTTTTAAGGATGGTCGTATTCATGTTTTGATTTACATGATTAATCCAACAGGCCATGGATTATCAGAAATCGACGTCAAATTTATGTTACATGTTAATAAGCTTGTTAATATTATTCCTGTAATTGCAAAGGCTGATTCGTTGACTCCGCGTGAATTGCAATTGAATAAGCAATATATTTTGGAAGATTTGACTAACTATGGAATCAACTTTTACAGATTCAATGAATACGAATATGAAGAAGATTATATTGACGACGAAATTATCGAGTATAATAAGTACTTGAATTCGTTGATCCCATTTTCAATCATTGGTGCTAATACATATCAAGAAAACCAAGATGATGAGGGTGAAGATTTACTCAAATTAAGAGTTTTAGATCCATCCTACTTGAAACCCATTAATGTGGAAATGCCAGAATGTAATGATTTCACAATATTGAAGAACGTGTTATTAATCACTCATTTGAATGAATTTAAAGAAAGGACTCATGATTCTATATATGAAGATTATAGAACTGAAGCTTTGTCTGGTAAACAATTCCAATACGCCAACAAGGACAATGCATCAACTCATGAAAACGGTGACTCGGAGTCGTTTGCTTCTAAAGTACAATCACCAAGAACGGATTCACCATATTTGGAGAATGGACGTAATGATAATAACGAAGGATCGAATTATTTGATGAAAGAAGAACAAATCAAACTTGAAGAAGAAAGATTGAGAAAGTTTGAAGAAAGAGTTCATCAAGATTTGATTAATAAGAGAAAGGAATTATTAGAACGTGAAAATGAATTAAAAGAAATTGAAAAGAGATTACTAGCTGAGGGTTTGAAATTTAACGACGAAGGTGAAGTTGTCAAAATCGAAGAGTAGAATAGACAGTACGAAAAAAGAATTTGACTTTGGCTCCAGAGCTGGTCAAATAGAATTTATAGCAGATCAAATTTCTATTGTTTCTAATTACAGTTTATAGAAATAAGGGACAGGTTTTAAAGTTATTATAGTGTGTATATCGTAAAATATATATCCTAAATATATATATTTAAACAGCAGTTTTATACTTTTGAACGATTTCGTCGAACTTAGAGTTCTTTTCTTTCGCTTCTTCCAAAAGTTGATGTTCTTCTTGAGTTTTCGATAATTCTTTTAATAATTCTTCAACGTTTTCACCGTTATTAAGTAAATAATCCATGGTAATTTGGTTAGCAAGAAAATCGCCATCAATCTTACCTTCTAATGTTTTCATTTGAACTAATAATTCTTGTGCTTCAGGGTAATGCTTCAACTGTAAAGTCAAGACAAACAAAACATTCAAGATCTTAAATCTGCCTTGAGAATCCTCATCGAAGTCAACCGATAATAATTCATCATAAAAATAGTACGCATTATTTATATTATCGGATTCACCTTTAACAGACAACAACCATGATTCTAAAACTTGGTAAATTATACTATCTCTTGCAGAGTCTGGGAAGTTTTTAAAATTGAGCAAGATTTTGTTGGCAGCATTGAAATTGCCCTTAATTAAGTACAATTGTACCAAAATTAAAAATGACTCTAATTCATTAGGGTTCAAATTGCCAGAATCAATATAATTGGTCAATAAACTGATCGCTTGATCAATATCTTTCTTAAAGTTTACCAAGTATATAGCTGTCAAGACTGCTTGTAATTCAAACTCGGCTTGAGTGATATCTTCAAAATATGTCGAATCATCGGTTCCGAACGATTTCAAATCATTCCAGGCATTTAATAATAAAAAGAGCTGTTCGTTGTCTGGAAATGAGCTCTTTCCACTATCAATTAGACTAGATGCATCTTTCTGTAACGCAATTGTAGATCTGACTTGGTACTCTAATACTCTCAATTGTCCTTCAGGAGAAAACTGATCCAAAGTATATGATATAACTTTTTGATGTTGGTTTGTAAAAAATTGATTTCTTATGGTATATAATTCACCAGAATCGCCGAATGAATCCATCTTGTTAGGTGTGTAAGGTGTAGAAGTTCTCTTGTATACGTTTATTTGGTGAAGTTGATTCCAGCGTGTTTTTAAGACCTAATCAATTTTGTGTAATTTTCAGTATAGAATATTACAACTAACGACATAGAACTATTTATTATGGTATATACAGATATCAGACTATTTATGGCTTACGGGACTGCTGTCTAATGGCATCCCAAGCAGTTACAGGTTTTGCCTGTTCTTCTTCGTAATTGGCGTTAATACCAACTTGATCTGTAGATAAATCAGATGGTAACTCTTGATTGTTTTCAGGGGAAGAACTTGGGGTCTGGCTAGGTGCAAAGCCATTAGCAGTACGAATCTGGTCCCAATGTGACATTTCATGTTTTTCTGAATCGTCCTCACGGCCAATTCCTAATGCTTTCGTAAAATGACGATCCTTTGATGGAGGATCGTAACGAACTTCGTGCAAAGATTGCTCAGTGAACGTTCTAGGGTCTTTAACAACAAATCTTGGGTTCTCTGCTGTCTTTCTATAGTAGAGGAAAAACAAACTGGCCTGATGATAATCCATTGACTTCCAAGCTTCAAGTTGATTTTTTTTGCTTGATTCAGATTCCAAAGATTCTATTTTCTTTGAGAATTGATACTTGGCCACTTGTTGGTTCGTTATAAGCAAAGCAGTTAATCCAATTAGGAACGAAAGAAATGGCTTATGAACAAATGGCCTTATCTTAGTAGGAGTGCTTGGCACAGAAGGATGTTGAAATCTGTTTATAATTGTAGGTACGAAGAAGTTACCCATGGCCGAACCATACCCAATGAATGCAGTTTTATACATAATTGACTGTAAATCATTAGCCACTTCACCTCTGTCTTCGGGGTTCAATTTTTTGTCGGCTTCATAAAACCTAATACTGGCATCGAATTGTTGTGGAGTTAATTTATTTAATAATGGATTATCATGTTGATTTGTTGGTACTTTGACTGTACCATTGCTTTGAGAGTTATCGTCTGCCATCCTAGTTTGTATACGAATGTGTAGAATAATGATAGTTAAAAGATAACTCAAACCTCCTCTTCTCAGAAATGTCTATTCGCACGAGAAAACGAAGCAATTTTAACCAGAATGAAAATGAACGAAATGTAATTTAAATGATAGTGTATATATAGGAAATTTTATATAGTATAAATGTTAAAACAATGTATGAACATGCTGTATTTAAATTAATTTATTGTCTCTTCTCATTTCTGCTCTTAATTTGATTAATTGTTGTACAACATCATCGAACTTAACCATGTCATTCTTACCTTGTTCTTCTTGAATATCTCTATTTCTAACATTGACACCTTGTTGTTCTTGTTCTTGTTCACCAACGATGAAAATGAAGTTATATTTATAGACTTGACCGGTTCTAATTTTCTTTTGTAAAGTATTACCTGAGACATCCACATCTGCGTAGAAGCCGTATTCCTTATTTAATTTATTTTGAAGCGATTGTGCGTATTCAAAGTATTTGACACCAACTGGGACAACAAGAATTTGTCTTGGTGATAACCAGAATGGCCACTTACCCTTGAAATGCTCGGTTAAGATAGCTGTCATTCTTTCGACAGAACCTAAGATAGCTCTGTGGATCATAACTGGTCTACCAATTGTGTTTGACTTGTCATTAGTTTCAGCCTTAAATTCTAATTCGAAACGACTTGGTAATTGGAAATCCAATTGGATGGTTGCACATTGGAACCATCTCTTTAATGCATCACTGATCATGATATCAATCTTTGGACCATAGAAAGCACCATCACCTGGGTTCAATTCCCATTTGCCCTTACCCAAGAAAGTGTTCAAGGCATTTTCTAACTTAGCTTCAGCACTGTTCCAGGTTTCGATATCACCGACATATTTTTCTGGTCTAGTAGACAACTCCATCTTGAATTCGAAGCCAAAAATACCATATACCTTTTGCAAGAAATCAAATACACCTCCGATTTCAGATTCGATTTGATCTTGAGTACAGAAAATGTGGGAATCATCTTGTTGGAAACGACGAACTCTGGTCAAACCAGATAAAGCACCGGAAAATTCATTTCTGTGGATAACACCGAAATCAGCAACACGCCAAGGTAACTCACGGTATGATCTTTCACGAGACTTGAAGATTAAACAATGACCAGGACAGTTCATTGGTTTCAAACCAAATGTTTCCTTTTCAACATCAAAAGAGAACATATTTTCTTTGTAGTTACCCCAATGTCCAGAAGTTTCCCATAATTTTGAGTTGTACATGTTAGGAGTAATAACTTCTTCGTATCCTCTTTGTCTATATTCCTTTCTCATCAATTCGGTCAAGGTGTTGTAAATTCTGGTACCATGTGGCAACCAGAAAGCAGAACCTGGAGACAATTCATTGAAAAAGAATAATTCTTGCTCTTTACCAATCTTTCTATGGTCTCTTTCAGAGGCTTCCTTCAAGAATTTTAAGTGTTCATCCATTAATTTCTTATCTGGGAATGAAATACCGTAAACTCTTTGCAAAGAGTCATTAGCGGAATCACCTAAGAAATACGAAGAGGAGTTCTTTAAAACTTTGAAAGCCTTGATTCTACCGGTATGAGGAATGTGAGGACCAACACACAAATCGATTAATGGACCACATCTGTAAACAGTGGTAGAAGTACCATCTGGAATCTTGTCACTGATGAATTGAACTTTATACTTATTGTAGCTGAACATCTTCAACAAATCTTCCTTGGTCATTTCCAATCTAACGAACTTTTGCTTTTCTTTGATAGCCTTGGTAGAAACCTTTTCTAAGTTACCGAAATCTGCTTGGGAAACTGCACCTTCACCGTTGTTGATAGACATATCGTAAAAGAAACCGTCATCAGTTGGAGGACCGTGAGATAAATGACAACCATAATGACATTCACAGGATTCACCCAAAACGTGCGCAGAAGAGTGCCAGAAAACAGCCTTACCTTCTGGATGTTCAAAATCTAAGAAATCCAACTTGACGTCACCTTCTAAAGGTCTTTCCAAATCCCATAATTGTTCACCGTTAACCTTGGAAATAACTTGTCTTTCAGCAAAAGACTTACCGATCAGGGTAGCGATATCCATTGGAGAGGTTTCATAAGAGGTACCTTCTTTGACACTGCCATCTTTCAAGGTGATTTGAATTGGCTTACGTTCCTTGCTAGCAATTTCAGCATCATATTTGGCCTTCAATTCATCGAAAAGCTGAATACGTGAGTCAATGAAAGCTGGTTGTGGTTCCAAGTACAAAGATCCTGGACCTTTACCGCCAGCTTCTGCGGCCTTTCTTTCTTTTCTGGAAGGCTTTTGTTGAGGTTTTTTAGGTTCCTCTTCCTTAACAGACAAGTCTTCGACTTTTCTTTCAACTGCGTCAACAGCAGACATCTTTTAAATCAAGTTATATTTAAATGTAGTTAGCGTTAAACTAGCCCAATTTTTTTACTTTTCTGATTACTCACGAAAAAATTCACAAACTTAGTGACAGGTTCTACGCTTTATATACTGACAGTTACGCTCGTTTATTTATATATGGGAAGAAGAAGAAGTCTTGATTGAAGGAACATCTGTGATGCCATCTCCTCCATTGACGACTCATGACGAACATAATGAGGAGGAACAATCGATAATGAGTCAAATTGATGAGTTGAAGAAATTATTCATCAGTCACCAGCAGATCATAAGTGAGAAGTCTTCTAATCTTGAATCAATAACTGAACGATTAAACGATGTCCGAGAAGGAAGCGAGTTTGATGGAACAATTGAAGACATAAGAAACGAGTTAAACGGTTTGCTTAGTACTTTTCAAGGAAAGCTTGCAAATGCATCTACAGAACAGAGACAAACAGAGGAACGAGAGAACAGTTTAGGTGAGATTTCGAAGTCATTGACAGGAATGGAGAATGAACATAGAACCGAAACTCCATATGAAACCATATCTCAATTACAAGGTTACTTGCATTCAAATGGCCATAATTTGGGGATATTGAGTCATTGCTTCAATGATGTTTTGGAGTCGACCAACGGGTTGATGTCGGGCATACCCATGAATAAGACCAATACCACACACATAAACGAACTAGTCTCTCTGATAGAAGGCTGCATAGGGTCATTTGCTTTATAGGGTCAATTTTCACAATAAATAAAAAAATACACTATTTCGGCGTAAATGTCACTAATGTTTTATTATTTTATATATACATGAACTAAAAGTAGAAAACAATGCTTCTCTAAAAGGTTTTTGGAGCTAATGACACGATTTTATTGTATTGTAAGTCTCTTAATTCTTTGGCAACAACGGAAGATACTCTGGTTCCTAATGGGTCCCCGTTCTTGTTAATCAAAACGCAGGCATTATCGTCAAATCTCACGGTAGAACCGTCTGGTCTAATGAATGGTGATTTAGTTCTAACAACAATAGCACGGCATATATCTCTTCTTTTCACTCTATTACTTGCAGATTGGCCCGTTATTTCTTTGTTCATTGATCTGGCCTGTTTGACGACTACGGTTATTTCATCACCAACCTTAGCAAAATTTCTAGGTCCATGACGTAAGACTTTGATACATTCAGCTACTTGAGCTCCCGAGTTGTCTATAACGTTTAATAATGTCTTCAAATATATCATGCTTGTTTCTAGTTACCACTATAATATGTCCATATAGTAGACCTGAAAATTTTATAATTAGTCTTGAAAATAATGTTACACAAAACTTCGCGAATCGATAGAATTAATTTTATTACTATAGACATATAAAATCAATAATCAACAGAAACATGTAGGATATGAAATGCTCTTAGCCTCGGGGCATCCTTAATCAAGCCATCTTCTTTTCTTAGCGGCTGTGGTCAAAGATGCCTTAGCTGTAATTCTTTCACTGGCAGGGTAGGCAGTGTTTGGATAAGGTGCTACAGTAGCCCCATTAGGTTTAGAGGCAGGAGTGTAATCCCATCCAGGAGTAAGAGTGGTCATCACGTTGGGGGACTTTTTGTAAGTAGAATAAGCGGAGTAAGAACTTGTAGGAAATCTTCTTGTCATAGACGTATGGGTAATTTTCGATCCTGGTTGTGTTTGCATTGGCGCATATCTAGTCTTACCGGTCTGTTTTGTATATGTGATGGAGAAAGAAGCTGAATTGACTGATGTATCACCACCTTCGGTGGTAGCAGCTGGGGCATCACCAGTGGCAGTAAGAGCCACAGATAAAGACATGGTGGATCCGAAAGTCTTGGAGCCTCCTGTCATACCTTTCAACTGGAATCTGTCAGTATACAAAATAGAAATTCCCAGATCGTAAGTATTATACATTTGGAAGTAGTAGTACCCGTTTGGAAATGAGGATGCATCAATCGATGCCGTGTACGACTTTTTCGTCAGGTCAGTCACTTGCTCAATAGTGGTACATTCGATATCGTCGTTAGGACCCGTACAAAGCGATACGATATATTTCTCGATATCTTTGAAGTTCAAATCTGAACCATCGTCATCCCACTTGATTTCTACCGACACTTTTCCACCACTAGCCGTAAATGTCTTACCTGATTTAGGGGCAGTGAACTCCATATCTCCCATAACCGCTACCGCATATATCAATACACTTAGCAAAAAGATAAGTTGGCTTTGCATATTGGATATTATTATTATTTCTTGGATTATTAGCTTTTTGTTTCAATTTCGTATTCAAAACTTCTATATATCGACCTGAACACAATCAACTTTGAATTCAATAAACGATTGCTTGAATATCAACTTGGCGTTGTACGTAAAAATATGTATCAAAGATAAATAAGATAAACTGGTATATCACCTCAAAGTTATTTTTGATGTCTGATAAGCCTAAATAGTAAAATTAACCACGGTGTGCCAGTTGTTTGTTAAGAAAACTTCTTCTTATGTATTGAAATTCCTTCTTCAATCGCGATAGTAAGGCAGTGCAGTGCAAGGATCAAAAGATTTTCGTGTCGGTAGACTTCTCAATATGGAAACAAGTTGATTTCGCACAAATATTAATATATTCGCGCTCCAAGAGTGCCTATACTTACTACAATAAATGATCTTCATCTTTCTGTATAGTTTGGTACTGTAACCTGATACGGTCATGGTGGTGATAGTCACCTTTTTGACGAATTGTATATAGAGTGGTATTTATCGCTTACTTGTATATACCTCATATTTTGCAGCCATCTAATGGTTTCGGATTACATTGAATGATGTTAATAGATATAATCTAATTGAAACAAGTAGTCTATCTAATAAATACGTAATAAATAAGTCGTAACGGTCATAATAATCATAAGTCATAAAGCTTAGCAAAGAAATGTCAGGTTTGTACTCTGGATATGCCTGGCACCATTGCATCAGCCGTGCGAAGTTCCTGCTCGGATCGGGATATAAATTGCACCCATTCAATCCGAAACACCCGGAGCCAATAGTCAATCGAATCTAACTTTTCTTCTCTCTAGAAGTGTATGGTGTCCCGACCTGTGGATATGTGACTTTTCCATATGGTATTCGGATACGTCAACTGTTAATGTGTATGGCAGGATATCCTCCTCCAGATATGGTGAAGGTGGGAGCGAATTATCACTGGAGTTTGAATAACTTCTGGCGCCATTACTGGAACTTGGAGAGAGGCTCATGCTGGACTTTGGCATATTTCCTCCTCTTAATGCTTTCAGCGAAGACATCGTCTTTGCCTGGCTTCTATTTACAACCTTCACCGAATTGTTATTCGATCTAGACCTTCTTTTCGACCTATTTTTATTATTCGGAACACTTTCCAGTTCCAAGCTACGACTTCGTTCTCTTTGGTTCGTGCTTCTGGATGTCGTTTTTTCGTTTTTTGCAAGCCCGTCATTTATGGAAGCACTCTTTGACCGTCTCATCGAATACATGGGGATCAATTTCATGAATCCCGTCTGAATATCACCAATAGTACTGTTAGATCCCAACAACATCTTGTCAAACCGATTTTTCATAGCCAGCAGAACATAATTGTCATCTATGTAACAAATGGCGATCTATATATATATATAATTGTGCTTAGTTATAGAGACGGGCTTTAGGGCGATAAGCGGAAATAAAAATTTTACTGCCGTTTCTTAGTGAGCGGGCTCGGATGAAAACCAAATATGTCTGCTCCGAAACTAAAAATTGACAAAACCCGCTTTAAACCCGCTCCGTACGCATAGTACTCTCGGGCACTTTGTCATCAAACAGGGACAAAAATGTTCGACCCATCGTAGATATTCGGATCTAAAGTCACTTTATATCGTTCCTATTCCCGATATTCTAGTTATGCCCGCTTTTTTTCTAAACTCCCTGAGAGAAAATTAGAAAACGGCCAGCACCAGTGAAATTCACAATTAATCGATGTTTCGATATCTATGTAACAAAGATGAGAATTGATCTATTCATATCATGTTTTCTACTATGAATCTTGAAAGTTCAAGCTTAGAAGGCTTAACGGTGATAATGCGCACGAAATCGTATATGTTGATTAACGTAAAATGGTCTTGTGTCATAATTAACATTAGTCAGATTTAATGGTCATCAAAAGCTTATATAGATATATTAGTAAACAGACTGCTTTATACCTTTCTGTCGTGAAGTGATCCTAAAGGTGATGGCATATGGACTTAGTAATTATTTGATATGGTACAAATTCAGCATAGGAATAGAACAATGCTATGTTAGATGAATAGATGAGTTGGTGGAAATTTTTCCATTTCACCATATGCTTGTTATTTCTATACATGAGATTGATTCTTTCTCCCTTTAAAATCATGAATTTTAAAACTGATTCTCTTATGTCCATTTTATTCTTCCTCATGCCTTGCATTGCAAAATTCATGGATTTTTATGAAATATTGCGTTTTTGCGAAACATTCATAATATTGCAATTGACATAAGACCAGTTAGTTTTATCTTGAAGACATTCTAAAGTAGGAAGCCGCCATCACTGACAATGGCAAGTATTTAGAAATTCAACATACATACATGACCTAAACAAGAAGTTAAAATGGTTAAAATCATTAAATTTAGTTTTTGATACCCACCTGTATCTTACAATAAGAGAATAAAAAAAATATAAGCCTTAGGTTTATTTTATTCAAGAGGAGGTGTTCGTCACATTATATATAAAGTCAATTTCGATCAATAGTTGAAAAAGATAATAATGAAAAGTTGAATCTGTTTAAATGTTAGATTTATGGTAAAGGACATTAAGACTATACCCTCTAATTCGATTGCATTGCTAAAGATAAAAAAGAGTCCAAAAGTAGAAAATAATATCCATTCCACTTCTATCTAGATCGAAAAAAGACGTTTACGTCCCTGATTTACTTCTATAATTAAATTTGCATTTTTCAATGATTCGCTGTGAACATCGTGCACCTATGAAAGCAAAAGTTGGAAGATCTGTTATATATGACCGTTGATGACCATGAAAATCAAGGGTTTTCAGTATTTGCTGATGTCGTAATAGGCACGTAAGGTTACTTTTGTGGACAAGCATTTGAAAATCAATCATAATACTGTGGGGTGTATCACATATAAGAACATTCCATATGATCTAAATCACATTTCGAAAAATTACTTTGCATTGATGCGAGAATTATTCACCTTAAGATTGCATTTTTGTAAAAGTTAGAAGAAATATAGTTTAGTTATTAATGTCTTTTACTGGTATTGAGTTGATAAATCATTACACGCAGCCACAGACTTATCATCAATAGAACAATATTACAGGTCTCTAAATGTTAATCTCACTTAATGCCATACTATTCGATTCCAGGCTCGATATAGCTTTACATCCAGGCGGATAATCACCTCTCGGGGCCGTGTAACTTCTCTTTTCGTTGTTTATATAAGCATTGTTAACTATGGCCTCTGAATCACCTTCACCATCAGAGGTTACGGCTCCCCAGTTTTGGTTCGGCCCATACCTCATGTGTACCCAAAAGGTAAACACCATATCACCTAAGAAAGCGGCTTCCTCGAATGCCGCTTCTTTAGCGAATGCTAACACTTGGTTCCACTTACCAGACTGTTCAGACTTGACTCCTGCCTTTATAACTATATAGCCACATAACACCAAAACAATAACGCCCGTTATCCAGTCACCAGTTCCTCTTTTAGCCAAGTGTTCAATATTATCATCCAGTACAAAGCCTATCATCGCTCCGTTAATAACCACTGGTGTTATTCCATTCAAGGACATGTTATAACTGTTTCCATCTATGTCATATGTAATATTACATGGCACAGTAATGTTGTAGCTTTCAAAAGTCTCTCTCTTAATTAGTTCCACACCGCTATCCAATGCCTCTAAGACTTCATTACTATTAACTTGTAATGTTATATAGTTACTAAGGTCACCTGTAACGAATGAATTTACACCAAGTGACGGGTTAGCTTTAAAAATGTTTCTCAAATCTTGTATACATTCACTATAGAAAGATTTATCTACTTCAACAGTAGCTACCGTTAAGCCGATAGCAGCTAAAAATAATGTAATATAATTCATATCTATTATATTTTTACTAAAAGCTATCCACTCCTATCAGTTAACGAGTAGCCGTTGGACGCTTATTACCTAATTGGGCATAACCGCGCGGAACAAATGTGAATTGTAACTATATATTTCAGTAATTACCATCAATTATATTAGTTTATTTAATATAGTAACGAACGATGTCTAATCCAACATTGAATAACCCAGACTTAATCAGAACTAAACCTTACATTAATGGTGAATGGTTTGAATCAAAATCGACCAAAACCTTTAAGGTGATCGATCCAGCAACCGAAACTGAAATCATTGAATTGCCCGATCAGACACCAGAGGAAATTGCGTTTGCTATTGAAAAAGCTGAAGGGGCCTTCAAAACCTTCAAAAAGTCAAATGCATACGATAGAGCTAGATGGTTGAGAAAGTTGAATGATCTTATGTTGGAAAATATTGAAGATTTAGCTAAGATCTTAACCTGGGAAAATGGTAAATGTTTAACAGATGCTACTGGAGAAATCAAATATGCAGCATCGTACTTCGAATGGTTTGCCGAAGAAGCCAAGCGTATCTATGGTAATACTATTCAACCATCCAATAATAACAACAAAGTGATTACTTACAAACAGCCTATTGGTGTGGTTGGATTATTATGTCCATTCAATTTCCCCACAGCTATGGGAGCAAGAAAATTGGCGCCTTCTTTCGCTGCTGGATGTACTACTATTTTAAAACCAGATGGCCAAACTCCACTTTCATCTTTGGCATTGGCTTACTTGGCTGAAAAAGCCGGATTTCCAAAGGGTACTTTCAACGTTGTGTTAGCATCGACCGAAAATACCCCTAAAGTGGGATTGGAATTTTGTGAATCCCCTCGTATTAAGAAAATTTCATTCACAGGATCCACCCCAGTAGGTAAGTTGTTAATGAAACAATCATCCTCGACCTTGAAGAAATTGTCAATGGAATTGGGAGGTAATGCACCAATTATTATTTTTAATGACGCTGACTTGGATCTTGCTGTTGATCAATCCATTGCTTCTAAATTTAGATCCTTAGGTCAAACATGCGTCTGTGCCAACCGTCTCTATATTCAAAGTGGTGTATACGATAAGTTTTGTGAAAAGTTTTCTGAAAAGGTGAAGGAATTTAAGATCGGTAATGGATTAGAAAAAGGAGTTACCCACGGATGTTTAATCAACGACAAAGCCATTACAAAGGTAGAAGACCACATTAAGGATGCTGTTGAAAAGGGAGCTCAAGTATTAGTAGAAGGGGGCAGATTACCAAAGTTGGGTAAAAATTTCTATTCTCCTACAGTCGTTAAGGATGTTACACAAGAAATGGTGGTTGTTAAAGAAGAAACATTCGGTCCTTTGGCAGCTTTGCTGAAATTCGATACCAAGGAACAAGTTTTAGAGTGGTGTAATGATACTCCATATGGATTAGCTTCTTATGTCTTTTCAGAAAATTTGAACAATATTTGGTTTATGTCTGAATACTTGGAATCTGGTATGGTAGCGGTGAATACTGGCCTTTTCACTGATGCGGCAATGCCATTTGGAGGTGTTAAAGAATCAGGATTCGGTAGAGAAGGCTCTTTATACGGTATTGATGATTATACTGTAGTCAAAGCAATTACTCTTGGCAATATGTATAGATAAGTATATAGCGCATGTACATTCCTAATTGGGAGCCGCTACTTTGCACCCATTAATATACAAGAAATTCAAATCGCAAAATTTTTTTGGCACTATTGTAAGAAGCATACAATGATATACAGAAAACTAGCAATAGTAGCACAATTGGTCTCAATTGTATCATGCATAGCAATAGGTCTGTACGAGGAAACTTTCATAGACTCAGTATATGGAGAGCTAGTTGCTTCGACAGAATCGAATAATTATAAGCAAGAATTACTTTATAACGGAGAACTTACGAGGGATGCGAAATACGACAGGATAACAGAAACTTCAAAAATTGACTTGAGCCAGTTTGATCCAACCGATATTGGTTCATTTCAGCAGGTGCTTGATATGTATCATCTATCACAAAAATCAAATATGCATCAAAAGCATAATGATCTATACTACGAGAAATCCCATGAATCATATTGGAAGTATAGGCCTAAAGTACACTTTCCAGACGACGATGATACATCCGATATCTATGACGAAGCTCACAACATATTTGGAGGCATAACTACCTATGGTCACTTTAAGCATTTTAATTGTTTCGATCCTAAATTATTCGACGAAAAAATCGATATTGCTGTAGTAGGAGCACCATTCGACACAGGAGTATCATTCAGACCGGGGGCTCGCTTTGGGCCTGATGCAATTAGACTGGCTAGTAAGAGACTAGGTGGCGTGTCTCCAGACAGGGGTAGAGGCAACCCCAACACCAACATGACGGAGATTAATCCATATGACCCTCGCAGTCACAACCTCAGCATAATTGATTGTGGAGATGTCCCCATGACACCATTTGATAACAGAATAGCCCTCAATCAACTATACAGAGGTCAAAGATCGATTCACAAGCATGCAAGCGGTCATAAACCGAAGATTATTACTATGGGAGGAGACCATACGATAACACTTATGGCATTGAAATCTGCTTATGAGCAATACGGCCCCCTCTCCGTGCTCCATTTTGACTCACATATTGATACTTGGGACCCTAAGAAGCTTGGTGGCGGCATAACTAACTACATGTCTCTCAACCACGGCACATTTCTCCATTATGCTGCTGAGCAGGGCTATTTGAATAAAGGCTCGTGCTTCCATTTGGGCATGCGCGCGCCCTACATCGACTATCACTATGATTTACACCATGATAAGCACCACTGTGGGTTTAATACCATTACTGCCCGAGATCTTGACAACTTAGGCAGGGCCAATATTGTCGAGTCCATCAAACAGGCTGTAGGCTCCATGCCTGTATATATTTCGGTAGATATCGATGTGTTGGATCCTGCCACTGCTCCCGGGACTGGTACCGTGGAAGTTGGAGGGTGGACAGCGCGCGAGCTCTTGTCGATTTTAGATGGATTAGAAGGCATTAATGTAATAGGCGGTGATGTTGTTGAAGTAAGCCCTCCCTATGATACGAACTCTGGTATTACTGCTCTTGCAGCCACTGGAGTGATAGACTCGATAATGGGACTCATTATGGTGAAAACGTTACCCGCACACGCTCTGTAAAACGCTTATTTCCTGATGCGAGCAACGGTTGCATTGCCTGCCTAATATGGATGTTTACTTCTACGTCGTCCAATATATAAATAGGTTTATAACGCCAATATCAACGTCACCATACCGTCACACTAATTTCCATCCCAGAATGTGCATGGTAAACCCAACATCGCGTAAAGTAGACTCGTCGACAAGAGGGGTGGCCAGGATGACTTCTACCATTAGACCCACCAGTCGACCCTCGGCAGCTAACCAACGACCCATTGCACCAATATCAGTCCCTATCACAAGCCAACCATCATCCCACAAAACCACCTTAACCACAATTCCACGACATCCACGACATCCACGACATCCACGAGATTGTCCCGCGCCCACCCATCGCTCGGGCGAGCCTCGCGTCTGTCCAGGCCCGTCGCGGCCTGGAAAGTCGCGCATCCACTCTATTGACGTGGTCGCAGAGCCTCCTGCCGCCTTCCATGCGTATTCCTACTTATCCCCAATTGGTACTAATGAAAAAGGCGATAAATTCGACAAAATTGATCTGAAAGATGCAATTGGTTATGAGTTAGCCCACACAAAATGTAAAGAAGACTGCAAACCATTCAGCCATGTCGCTACACATCTACCACGTCCCGTTACCTCAGGACAGTCCAGTGACTCCACTAAGTCTAGAGGGTCTGTAGCACGAGCACGAGCTAGGCTTATTCTAATTCTCGCACTCACTATTCTTTGCATTTACAACTACTCGCATTATTATCGACCTTTGCGATAGGTATAATATAATCTACTCGGGTTATAGAAATATACATTGCACTATATATATACACGCACACACACAATACGCTTTCACAATAGCTATTACTACTACTCAAACGTTACCAGACGTTCGTTGCACATCAGATGCATCCACTATTGTTCGGTACGAACGGCTTTTTATTCATCTAGTGTTCGACACTTCCACGCCAGAATTCATCAATAGGTCCTACATAACCGGGGAGCTAATTCAAGTTCTAGACCACGCTAAAGGGATGAGCCAAAATATGTAATTGCTTTTCGTCTCACCAGAAATTTTTTTTCGGTAGAAGCACTAAAAAAAAAAACGCGATTTTTCAGGCTGAAGAAGTTTCAAATCAGTACAGGGAGAATTTTAATAAAACTTGATACATGGCGGGTCCAAAGGCAATATACTAGTCTTTTTAAAAATATCAGTCTTTCGTTAGTATAGATATATTAAACTTATCCACTCTTTTATTTACAGGACTTATTGGCGTGTTAAGAAAGTCCTAGGTGATAAATAGTACCCCAGATTGAACATAGACTGGGCAGAGCAGAAAAGCGGCTATTACAGATTAAATTCGTGCTGGAGTTAGATATACTCAAAAACAGGACAATATATAAGCACATTTAAGGAAGCCGACACATACAAAGGGCTATTAGTGTGATTATCATTGATAAGTGTCTATAAATACCCATTACGACATACGAAAATGAGATCAATAGGATTAACAGGATTGTTAGCTGTGTGTTATGCCATAGGATTAGTACACGCGGTAGACTCGGAAGGATGTTATTCATCGGTTCTGATTGCAGAGAGTAAGGGAACAGAGCAATATGCCAGTTCGTCCACTTGTTCGGAGCAATGTCTGGATTATGCATGGTTTGCATTAAAAAACGGGGGTCAGTGCTACTGTTTGAAGCTGAAGCCTTCGGACTCCACCAGTTCTTCAAGCTGTAACGTGGAGTGTAACGGATATGGAGATGAAATGTGTGGTGGTAAAAAAGCGTACAGTTTGTATGCGGGAGTGGGTACTGAAGGACTGGGAAGCAGTGATTCGAGCAGTCTGAGCTCCTCATCATCGCTGTCTTCCTCGTCTAGCAGCAGCTCAAGTGCAACCCGAACATCCACATCTACTTCATCATCGTCATCATCATCATCATCATCATCATCATCTTCTTCTTCTTCATCATCTTCTTCGTCATCATCATCCACAACTGAATCAGCATCGCTGTCTTCAGAAGATTCGACCACTACATCAGAATCCAGCTCATCATCTTCAGAAGCTCCAACACAGACCACCGTGGTGACCCAACTGTCATCACAAGGTGGTAAGGTTGTCTACAAAACCAAGACAATGAGCCCTTCGGCTACTGCAACCTCGTCCAGCTCTTCCACAAGTGCCAGTTCCGACAAATCACAGAAGAAGGACTCTGGATCGAATGTGGGAGCTATCGTGGGAGGTGTAGTTGGTGGTGTAGGAGGTGCTATTCTTCTCGGAGCATTAGCATTCTTTTTCATCAGACACCGTAATAGTCATGAAGAATCAGAAGATGAAGAAGAATTCTACGATAAACCTAGTGGGTTATCTAGTGCGGGAGGAACGAGCAGGTCAAGAAGTAAGAAGACTCTGTCTCCATTAGACATGCCTATGTCTAACCCATTTACTGATCCAACTGACACTGCAGCTGCAGGAGGAGGAAATAATGCTGGCTTGGTTGATCCTAGATTAAATCCAATCATGATGGGAAGAAGAAGACTATCTGATGGCTCTTTAGCGGACGAAACAGACTATTCCAGAAAAGTTCTACAGGTGGCAAATCCTGATGACTGAACATGAAAATATAAAAAAAAGATTTCCGGATCAGAGTAGATAAATTTAAAACAAATTACATGCAAAAATTCTCTTTAACGACTTTCAATACTTATCCTGTACTATTTTATTTCTTTTGTCTTATTAATTTACGTTTATAGTTTAATTTATGGTGTTTGATATAATCATGTTAATTTTTAGTATCTGCTATTGAACTTTTGTGTAACGGACGATCCCGCTACTATTCGGAATGTAAAGATAATCATTCTTACAATCCTTAGTACGCATTATGGTATTACAAGATAGTGTGATTATGTCGACCAAAACAATTCCAACATATGAAAAGCAGCTCCATGAAGAATTTTCAAAGATTTATAAACAGTTATCTTCGTTGAAAAATAATCGTAATATCTATATTAACTCAACACAGATTTATACAATTTACGATGAATTTTTAAGCTTACTTCATGAGTTAACATTAACTAGAAAGGATGAAGAATTGAAAGGAATTAACTTGGTTTTACCTAATGGCAATGATGTTATAATCGACGATATTTGGCAATTGTTATCTTTATGTTTTGTAACATGTGGGTTGATTAAGTTTGCTCCTGCAACTTACTCTTCCCTTTCAACGGTGAACAAATTGCTAGAACATTTAAAAGAGTGCCAAGTGTATACCATGGACGATTTACATCCTATTCAATTGAGGTTGGATGAGATTAAGGATATCATTACTTCAAGTGAGGATATAGCGGACGATGATGATGGTTATACTGAGGATGATGAAGCCATGATTAACAACGAAGATGCGAGATTCCATAAAGCTGAGGAGAGCTTATTATTACGAAATAAGTTGAATAAGTGCCAGCAGTCGTTGAACTACTTGCAGGATAAGTTCAAACAAGTTCCAGCCGATTTAGAGCCTACGTTCAATGAGTTATTATCTATTAGAAAGTCACTTTTAAACTACCTTACAAATGCGTCCAATGAATCAGCTAAGTTAAGCCCAGAGGAATTTAATAAAGAATTAGACAGACTAAAGGGTAAGTTGAATGATATTAAGGACAAAAGAGACGAAGAGGGGAGATTTACTAGTTCGAAAGGAACAGTTGAAGAATTGGAGGCAAGTCAAAGCGTTTTGAATGGATTGTTAGATGATTGTAATAATTTTATTAACGACCTATCCATTCAAAAGAATACAAATAATATTAATGACATGTTTGAAAGTTTGAATATATCAGGCTCGGCTTCGCCTGAGACAATTAAAATTGTGAAAGGTCTTGAAAAGTTGTATTCCGATTTGATTGACATCAAATTCAAATTAGAAAACCTTTTAATCACTAGCAGATGGACTATGAGAGGTACCGACTTGTACACGTACCAAAAACTGTTGAAGGACATTGAGGAACAAAGACTTAAATTAAACGAGTCTATAACTACGTCTGAAACCTCCACAGACCTCGACACGAAAAGCATCAAAAAGTTACAAGTTCTTATTTTATATTTGTTGAGAAGATGCTATGCATTGATTTATAAGTTATTGGAAAGCTCAGAACCGGTTCTGGAGTCTTTGCAACCAATTCATAATCAATTATCCACCGTTCGTAAATGCTTGTTGGAAATAAAGCGTGTCGACGGTCTTAACAATTTAAGAGATGTATATCCGTTTCAGTTCAAGCTTGCTTCTCTTGATAACTTGAGAGAAGATGGAAAATTCATCATCAATGGCCAAATTCCTGAGGGCCAAGGTACACTTAATGCTCTATTGGCGGAATGCTTCGATATATTACATGAACTCAAAATTGAATTGGAAGAGAAAGAAGAATCTTCCGTTTCAAACAACTCACTGTCAAATAGTGTAGCTAACACAAGTGACTATATAACTGATGATGAAGACATTAAGTCTGATGATGAAGTTGAATTGAAAAGAAATAGATACGTGGGATTTAATGAGGCCGACTACGATCAAGAATCGGAGTCAGAAGATAGCTTCAATGAATCAGAATATGAAAGTAATGATTATTATTAACTGTATATAGTTTAATGTACCTTTATGGACTATATTCCTGTGTAGCTAGTAGCTTGCTAATAGGTATTCTTACTCTTTGCTTGTGTAAAGCAATCCGGGTAAACATAAAAAAATTGCTATTTGTGTAATCACTCGCCATCAATTTCTTTTATCTTGTTTTACGGTAATAGGGTTTGCCCAAGTCTTCTCTTTATTCCTTGCATTATTAGATTAATATATTAGTCTAAACATATCTCATATTATTTATTTCTAACTAGCGTTGCTTCATATTTTTTCCAGAAATTTGGGAAATAATTTATTTTACATTTGTGTGGGTTTCAAATATAGGCTTCAGTTTATTTAACAAGAATCTATAACTACTTAAAACTTTACATTTTTCATTTACAATGATGTCTACAGGATTTTCATGGGGGACGCAGGCCTTATCTGAGAATACAGAGGTTAACAGTGGCCTAGGCGACTTACCTACAAGTATTCCAAGATACACACCTAACATCAAGTCTGTGAATAATAGCCATCATAACAGCGGGAAAAAGCGAAGATATTCTGAGGACCAGGAGTCTAAGGTAGTCAAGCCAACAGGGAATAGGAAACATTACGCTACTCCTAGCACATATTATAAAAATAAGAAATCTAGAACTCCAAAAATTATGGGTCAAAAGTTACCTATCAACAGACTTGTTGAGGCGCTTGACCATACATCATTACAGAAACTTCTCGAAAACTTGATACAAGAACATCCTGAAATATCGAACACTATTGATAAGATATCGCCAAAGCCAACTTTGACGAACTCTATTGAACTCATCAAACAAAAGTTCAACAACATCATGCATCATTTACCTTACAAATGTGACACAGAGTCAGACTATTCATATCTTCGTATAAAGCCATATTTGAACGAATTCTTGAATTGTCTCTCTGATTTCATCTTGAACTTTTTACCCCCAGTCGAAACCAATGTGTTCAACTCACTTAAATTTCTAGATGAAGTGACTGATTTGATACACACGTTGCCTAATTTTTCCAATAGTGAATTTCAGTACACTAGACTGATGGCTTATGAGCAGATTTCAAATACATGGTTGATCGTATTAAATCACAAAATGCACCTGGATGATGGTGCAAACAACAACAATACATCCAATACCAATGAATCATCATCCTCTCCTACACCTGTTGCTCAATGCAACATGGAAAACTCTGCACAGTTGATTAAAATAATCGACGAATTAAACTTGCAACAGAAATTAGCTAAACATGATAATATTTCGATGGGAAAATTCAAGTTAGCGATCGAGTTTGTTAATTCGGAGATTGAAAATTATGAGAACTTCAACCACACAATAAGTAATAATGGTGGTATCTTGAATGATTTAATAACTGTTGATTATTCTAACTTTTCGATTACCGCGAGAACATCGCATTAGTATATATTTGAGTTATATAGTTTATATACGCAGCATTAATAAAAATAGATTTTGCAACTTTTATTTGTGGCCTAAGCATAATCATGACGACTTTAACCAATATCAAGTTTATTACGTCTATCATTCATTGGATCTCAGACTTCCCTAATAGCCCAATATCGGCTGATTCGGTTCCAGTAGACATAGCAAGTCCGAACGTTATTTGTAAAACGCTAGGAATTTTATTGAATGAGAACGACTTCAGTCCACAATTAGAACTAAACGAAATACCGGAAGTAGACATTAAACAAGATGCGTCTGGAAGCTTTATAAAGATTTCTGTAGAAGTAAGTGGAAAGATTCAAGAAATAGAGAGTGCCTTAGAAAAGCATTTTGATAATAATCATAGGAAGCTAAAGAAAATTGAAGTTTTACGACAGATCTATAAAGCTATAAATTTCTACAAGCTAGTCATATTTCAGGACATTTGTGCAATAAGTAGATTTTGTGAGCTAATACTTAGGATTGGAACTTATTCGTCTAAATTGTCAACGTTTGGTCTAACATCAATAGAATTTTTAAGTGACCAGGATAAAGAATCGATTGACGAGTACTTTTATGGAAATGATTTTAGAGAAATGGAAACTATCAATACTTTTGATTTAGAATCAGGGAATGTCACAGTAGAACTGCATTTGTTGATGAAGGAGGAAGGAGAAAATAAGTATGTACCACTGTACAATTCTAGTGTGAGCGAACTGAGTGACACTTTGAGGACAATCGATAATTTGCGGAAAACGATTAGAACACCAGAAGGAAATTATGATGACGTTACTAAAAAGAAGAATTTTGTTGTTCAGAGAGAAGTAGAGTTTATAGATTCCATTATATGGGAGAATCAACAATATCAAAAATTAATATATAGTTTATTAAATTTATGATTATTTAAATCTAGATAATGCAGGTCCCAATAAATCCTTTTCTTCAGGAATGCCTTTGAATTCCCTATGTCTCCTTTGTCTTGCTTCTTTTTCCATCTTCAAGTTCTTTTCAATACGTAATTTTCTTTGATCTATGACGTTTTGCTTCTTCTTTCTAAGATGTCTTCTTAATGCTGAGTTTTTACCCTTTACTTCTGGTCTTACTGCCATCTTATCTTCTTTATCTTGGTTCTCTTGAGATACCAATTCATTTATTTCTTGCGGCTTTAATCTCATGCTGCTGGACCTTTTATCTACTGTTCCGATTACATTAGGGTCAAGTGATATAGTATCAGGAGATAACTTATTGATTAATGATCTGACTTCTTGTTGTTGTCTTTGCTTAGCAGTCTCGTATGGATTCAATTCTAATGCATCATAATTAGCTTCACCAGAACCTGGTATTATCAATGATGACATTCCCTTTTCATGTCCCGCACCTAAAATATCTTCAAAGGGTACGAACTTAATCTTTTCAATTTTACTGCTTGGTATTAAGTGATTCATATATGGACTATTCTGTTTCGACTTGAAAACATCTTTCCATACAGTAACGTGTGGACCCCATGACACCGATAATAATCCAGTATCAGAGATATCTAAGGATGATGCCGGGGTTGGTGTATAGTAACTGTCTATCTCTTTGAATTTACGTAAATCCCATATCTTTAATGTTTTATCGGCACCACTCACTGCCATATATTTACCTTCTCTGTCAATTGCTACGTCTCTAACTGGTCCTCTGGACGACTGAATTTTAGCCAAAGGAGTCGACATATTAGGAGACCATAAAGAAACAGTACCGTTACCATGTCCAAGATGCATGACAGCATTCCATGGATTCTGCTTCATAGCTTGAGTGGGCCCGAGTTTTGTTCTTATTTCACTAACTAATTGTCCTGTAGAAACATCGTGATACTTCAAGAAGCCTGTATGCCCAGCTGTTGCCAATAAAAAGTGATATGGCAAAAAGTCCAATAATGTTGCTTCCACATGTTGCTTCAATCTATGCAATTCCGTTCCAAGCTTATCATAGATGAATGTGTACTTCTTTTGAGCCACTGCAAAATATTGATCGTTGTGCAAATACTTCACACTGTTCACAGTCTCATTTAAGTGCAACTCACAGTCTAACTTCCCAGTTCTCCAGTCAACCGATGCCACATGTCCTTTTCTTCCCCCAATAAGTAACTCTCTTCCATTTCTACTATAATCGAGAGTATACGGGCCGAATTCTGGCAAGCTGAGTTCAAATTTCTTATTCGCTGCTCCCACGTCTACAGCCTCAACAATGTCATCTTGCTTGAATTTGTACGTTCTTTCCATAGGATCTTCTGCTTCTAAGAAACCTGCTTCTTCTTGTAATAACATATCTGTCCCTGCTGCTGACCTAACGGCTTCCTTATACTGTCTATCCACTTTTTTTAAACCGGCATTCAACTTCTTATCTTTGGTATATTTCGCCTTTCTCTGCTGTTTCGATCCACCTCGCTCGAATTTTTCGGTGTTCGATCTATCATAAGATCCCATCTTCCCTGTGAGTGCCATTATTACGATATTATAACTCTCTATTCTTCACTATTGTATAATATTTCACTACCGAAATCATCATAAATTTTTTTTTAGTCCATCTCACTGCTCATTTTTGGTCTGCATATAACTCTTAGTTTGCATCATGGAAATTATCACCAGAATATCCCCAACCAAAGTAGACGTTTCAATTCAGACTTTGATCGTTTCAAAGTAGATAGAAAAGTGACTGGCTAGCCGATAAGACTAAGGTGCTATATTGCAATATGAAATCGTTTGTTCGTTTTAATCAATTCAAGAGATTTTCTCATCGTTCGACCAGTGGATTTACGTCCAATTTAAGATCGACGAGACCAGTTTTACAATCCAGCCTTTTGCCTAGATCGATCTTGTTTACAGCAGGAGTGTTTGGAGCTACAATTGGAGGATTTTATTTATTTGATGCTAGATCAGCGGTCCATGAGTATGTTTTTTGTCCGCTCATCAGACAATTCACCAATGCGGAACAAGGCCACAAGTTGGGGATTTTTTTGATGAAATATGGGTTGGCACCCAAGTTATTGGACGAGCATCTCAATGACACATCGGATGTTTTGGGAGTTGATGTATTTGGAACGAGATTGAGGTCGCCTATCGGATTGGCAGCTGGTTTGGACAAGGATGGTGAAGCTATCGATGCGTTATTTGACGTTGGGTTTTCGTACGTTGAAATCGGTTCTATCACCCCTGAGCCACAACCTGGTAACCCTACTCCTAGGTTTTTCAGATTACCTAGAGATGATGCTGTTATCAACAGATACGGGTTCAATTCTACTGGCCACTTTAATGTAGTTGCCCGTTTGAAAGTGAGATTTGCCAAGTTGCTTGAAAGCTTTAGAATCAGCCACAATGCCGAGCAAGAGCCTTCCTCCAATTCGTTCAGAAACGGCAAGTTATTGGGAATTAACTTAGGAAAGAATAAATTCGGAGACGAAGTCACCGACTACGTGAAGGGTGTCAGCAGATTAGGTCCATATGCAGATGTGTTGATTGTCAATGTTTCTTCCCCAAATACGCCAGGTTTGAGAGATTTGCAGAGCGAGCTGAAATTGACCAACTTATTGTCCACCGTGGTCAAGGAAAGAAACACTTTGGGTGTTAACCTCGTGAACAAGAAACCTCCAGTTTTGGTCAAAGTTGCACCCGACTTGACCGAACCAGAGATAGAATCCATTGCCAACTCTGCTAAGGCTGCCAAAGTGGACGGGATCATTATCTCCAATACCACAATCGAAAGACCCACTGAAAATTTACTCACGACGGACCAGAATTTGATCAACCAAACCGGTGGATTATCAGGTAAGCCATTGAAGCCATTGTCATTGAAGGCCTTGAGAACCTTGAGGAAGTATACCAAGGACTCTGACTTGGTATTAGTTGGTTGTGGTGGTATCTCCAGCGGAAAGGACGCATTAGAATTCGGTAAGGCCGGTGCCACTTTTATCGAGCTCTACACGGCTTTTGCTTACAAGGGCCCAGCATTGCCATCCAAGATAAGAGATGAATTGGTAGCCGAATTGAAGAAAGAAGGCAAGACATGGCAACAAATTATTGGTGAAGATGATAAATAGGTCCCGTTAGCCAATAATCATAATCACGTGAGTCATCATGAATTTTGATTTCGCAAAAAATCACAATATGTAAACATATGTAAACATATATATACGAGATATATAAGAAGATATATCTAGATAATTTGTAAGAATAATGGCATCATCCCCAAGGCCTACGACTCCTAACTCTCAGAAGAAGAGATCTGGTCGTCGGCAGCTGCATCGCTCTTCTGGAGCCTATAATATACTTCCCCAATCACCTAAGATACATTATCCAGTGGATCCAGATAATTTACCACTAGAAGCGCCTAGTAACACAGAAAAGTTTGAGCTGCTTTCAGATGCTTTGGAAGAACTTGATGTTAATATGACGAACTTGCAGCTGATCCATGAAGCTGTATCGGATGGATTTAATGAATCATTTGCTAGTTTCTTGTACGGGTTGTCTATAACGATGTGGTGTGTTGACTTTCCAGGTTGTCCGTCGAGAGACCAATGGGAAAAGCTTAAGTTGGTCGAAGGATTAGACGATAGAATACTGGAACTCACGGAGAAAATACGGATACATAGAGAAGAAAATGAGAGATTAAAGAAGAGACTCACGTCCAACGTCGTTGAGTCAACAGAGGAGGAAGAAAAGCACAATGAAGGGCAAGAGAGTAGAAAGCCACCTCAGCCACATAAGGTGGGTAGGGGACACCCAAAACACGGCGATAACGAAGGGGATGACACGTATATGACAAATGAGGGTTCGTTTGTGGTGAATCCTTCAGTTGCAGGTGCAACCAGAATACCTCAGCCCGTGAAAACTGTACCAAGAAGACTCAACAAACACACACCACCACCAGCGGATACAAGCATGCAGTCAAGTAACAGGGGCCCAAATCTTAACCAACCCCCAAGATACATGCGGGGGTTATTTGATAGCACTAATCGACCTACTACACCCGCCAACAACCGGTCCAAAAGAGTTGTCAATACAAATAGAGTCCAAAAGGCTACTACTAGACCTCCATTTCGATAATTACCTTATGTATTATATATGTATACTAATGAACATAATCCGAGCAATTGATAAATATATTGCTAATTTAGTTTCTATTAAATTTGTAGTATTTGCATGCTGATCCATATTCCGTTATTGCCACTCTTTCCCAATGTCCTATTCTGATTGAAATTATATCCCTAAGTTACATTTAAATCAACCTTCTGTTAATTTAAGCATTAGTTCATGCTTGACTTGTTGAACTGATTTTTGTTGTTGACTGGCAATTACCAATAAATAATCCTTATTTTCAATTGAATTTAGAATAATCTGTCTTCTGAGTTGTTCCTCGTAGCTTATCGAGGCACCATTGTTGGGTTCTTGCACTGAAGACATTACAGATTAATTGGCGTATATCATAATTGTCAGTTAGCTTATTTTGTGCGCATAATTTATTAGAACAATTTTCAAATGTATCAACCTCCATTTAGATTCCCTCTTTCAATAGAACTAAGCATAAAAATGTCTGAACAGTCATTGTCTCAAGATGAAAAAAGACGTCTTTTGAGAGAAAGGAGACAAGCAAAAATGGCTAGGGGAAAAGCTAGCGAAAGATTGAATAATATCCTTTCTCAAGGTTCTTCAGTCAAAGATACCACCGATGCAGTTTCGGTTCTCGATTCTAAAACAAATTCTACAGGACCATCTAGTAAGACAGCAGAAGTTTCTCCCGTAGTGAACTCAATTCGTAATCCAGAGGATGATCCTGAAATCATGGATATTGAAAATGTTACTCCCGAAACTAGGGTGGATGAGGCAGATATTGACAAAATGTTGAGTAATATCTTTGGTGCAAACGTAGGGGGAAATGCTACAGACTCCAATCAGGATGACTTCTTGGCTAATATGATGAATATGATGAAACAAGGAGAAGGAGCAGACGGAAATACTGCAACTGCAGAGCCTCAGGAACCAGGATACCAGAGCCAATTAAATGCGTACAACATATATCAACAAAAGCTATGGAAGTTCAGATTCTTGATTGTTAGATTTACTGCAGTTTTGGCTAATTTCTTTTACCATTATCTCACGATTCAAGATTATTCGTTTTCTTCATCAGCTCACTTCTATATTAGAGGGTTAGCTCCTCAGTCAGCAGTGAATAGTTTCATCACTTGGTTTCTGACCTGCGAGGTAGCTATATTGGCGTCATTTTACTTAATTACGTCTAGAAATAACATTTATGCTAATGCTAGTGATGGAAATTTGCTTCTTAAGGGCATTTCCATGGGAGCTATGGTGCTTCCTCAATTACGTGCTTACCAACCATTGGTAGTTCGTCTTGCACATTATTGGGAAGTATTTAGTATGTTGCTAGGCGATATATTTCTCGTCGTGGTATTATTTGGATTGATAAGTATTTATAAATAAATTTGATTCATGAGTTATCATGCTATACATAGAAAATATCGACATGATGATTATATACATACATTATTGAAAATTAATATTACACTAATATTACCACTTGCTTCTCATATCTTTTCTCTTTGCTTCGATAACCTTTTCAGCACTCAGGTATTTTCTTTTCTTGATAAAGTTATATATTAATAAACCTGCACTCACGAAAGAAAGGGAGAACCATGTTACTAAATATTGCATATGGTTATTAGAAAGCTTAACCTTTGGATAAGCTGCAATAGGAACACCTTGTTCCACAAATTCAAATTCTTGATATTCTAAAGTCGAGTCTTCATCAGCCTTAGAAGAGATATACAATGCATCATCATTCTCATCCGTGTCCTTGTCCTTTTTAGATATTCCAAGCCAATTCTTCCAAGAAGGCTTATTTTCTTCCTTTTGCTGAGCCTTTCTCCATTCCACATTATCTTTCAAATTATAGATCATTTGACAATAAATTGGTAACGAATGCGATTGCTCAGCCATTACTTCAACATCAGGTACATAGAACAATCTTGATCCCATATCATGATCAAACTGTAAATTCGATTTCTTTGGCATAACTCTGAATAGAGCTTCAATCTCAATCTCGCCTTGTGGATATGCTAAGTGACTCAAATAACCACCTTTCCTATTTTCAGGAACAACTTTATCTTTATGAATCCAACCTCTTTCAATTAAAATTGGTTCGCCTCCATTACTTCTCACAAAAGGACAAACTACAAGATATCCGGTCATACCATTCTTAATTCTAGGTCCCAAGAACATTTCTTGGGAGTAATCAAAGTGTCCCTTAGTCTTAAACCTTCTATATTCGAATTCTTCAATGACGGATGGATCAAGGTTTGGAGGAATTTCATCCATTGGTGGTTGTGCCAACGAATTTTCACTCTTCGAAATTAATTCTACCTTCCATTTCAATCTTTTCACTTGCCAACATCCTAAGAAAAAGCTAATAACAGGCATTGCAATCATTAATCCTAAAAAGAATTTACGTAACATTGGTGTTTCTGCCTGCTTTTCAGCAGTTGCGAGATTTGTTTTCGAAGATGTAAGCGGGTTCCAATCAATGGTTGGGGTTTTAACTGTTCTTTTGGAAATCAAGGACGAAGCTCTTATTATAGTCCTATGAGATGATCGAGAAACCAATAAGGATAAATATCTTCTCTCAAACAGCCTTATACCGATGCTGGACATCCTTTGAGGAAGTTTAAATACAAGCATCATGGATTCTAAAGAATATACTTTAGTATTTGGTGGGATCATTTATGCCTTTCTTCTAGTACAATTAATTTTGAACGAATCATATGGCACGTGACAAATTAAAGTTGTATTATTTGATGTATAGAAGAAACTAATGTACTTACAAAACAAAGATCTAGAGCTAATTAACAATCTTGGGTATATAAAACGACGTACTCAATCACAGCTGATGAGCCATCGTGGAATGTGGTGGTAGTTGCGGAGGTTGACGTAGAATAGTCACCCTTTGGGATAGAGGAAGTTGATTCCGAGAAAGCTGCTACCGCATTCGACAAAGCTGAGAATGATGGGTAAGTCATAGAGGAGTATGCTTGTGTGGATTTTGACACTTCAGAAATAGATACTGCCGAGCTGGAGCTGGAGCTGGAGCCGAAGCTAGAGCTAGTGGTGATCGCGGAGCTCACCTCAAGTTCAACATCAGAGGCAGCTGCAGAAATTGCAGAACCTAGGGAAGTAGACGTAGAAGACTCAACATCAGTTTCATCAGACACAGAGGAACTGACAGTAGGGAATGGAGTTCCAGTTGCTAAAACATATCTGGTGCTACCAGTAGCAGTAGTTGTAGTAAGCGAACTGTATGAATTGGTATAAATATATGCCGTTTCAAAAATTTCTTCAATGTAACCAATAGTGGTAGTCATGGTGATCTCAGGAGTAAGTGTGATAGTGGTGGTGGAATCATAGCTAGTATCAGCGAGCGTGGCACTGACAAGAGATATGAAGATAACCGCAAGATGGCTCAACATTATTGTAAGGAGTGGTTTCAAAGGAGTGAATGCTGAAGAACAGAACGTATATTACAATGAAAAACAGCTAAACATGCTTTTTATATTACTTTTATGCAATGTTTTCCATGTATAGAATAGGAAAACTATAGTCCCAATCAAGTAAACACAATAGCCAGCTCATCGTACAATATATTATACGCGTAATAATCATTGTATTTCGCTGGTTGCGTATACAAGGACATCAAATTAGTTCATTGATGACATTCTATAGACATATGGCCTTGTATTTCATCGTATAATTGTTGATGATGCATCGGTATTTCTTATTTTGCAGCTTTTAGCCAGCCTCCGAGGTGTCAAATACTGCATATAATCAGATTCATTTTAAGTATTAGGCTAAACCACGCTAGTAGGATAAGTCGTACCGAATAGGAATAAGATCTACCCGGTTGAGGTATGGCAAGCCATTCGATGCCTTAAGGTGGGATTCTATCCTATGGGATCGTAATTTAAAATACGAAGGTCAATCCATTGAACCAATACTTTCTCTGCTTTCTAATTTATCCTTCCTTGCATATTGGTGAAAACACTATATTCATCGAATATGTGTCTCTTAATTAGAGCCATATCCGATATAAGTCGGTGGTTCAATATCATGAATCGTTTAAAACGTTGTCATGCAGATTTTAATTCATAAATTATTCCTCGGTGGGGGTTGTTCTTTTTTTGATATCTTCAATTGCATCACCTAGCTCAGGGAACTCTTTACTAAGTTTGTCACCTAACACATCTCTCAACTTTTGAAATCCTAACATCTTTCCCTTGAGTCTTGCGTTACTTCTTGCTGTCACCTCAACGAACTCTCTGGTGTAAACGTCAGGATTCCTACCATCTTCAATATACGATATCACATCCACTGGGATTGGATATTGCTGTGTAAATCCGCTGTCTGTTAAGGAGGAAAGTTGACTAATTACCTGATTGGTTTTATGGGTAAGGGCTGTATGTGATTGTTGAGTTCCTTGATTATCATGAACTAATACTCCCAATTCAATAAAAGAGTCAATCAAGCCTTGTAATTGTTCGGCAGTAGATACCAATGGTTCGTTTCCCGTGGTTGGATCGATGGTAGCTGTAGTCATGTTTGTATATTTCCTTCAAATAGACCTCTTTGTAAGAACAATAAATGTATTTTTTAAGTAATTTTCTGTTCTGGGAATGGTGCGAATTTTAAAAAAAATTATGGATGAAGACCTTTATTCAGAGAAAGTAAAGTCAGCACAACTGCCTCAATAATTGGTTGTATAAGATCAGAAATGACGTCAAAAATAGTAGTGCTAAGTTATAATCCTGAAAATTTATCAGAAGGTTTGAAGGCTTCTTTGAGTTTAATGAATGGAACTTCGGAAATAGGTTTTTCTGTGGACAATTCTACTCTGGATGTTACACACTTCCCTTCGTCTAGAATAGTCAAATTACAATATAGTAATGGACGGGGCGAATCATTCGATGGAAGTGATTGCCTGTTACTTCTGTCCCCTTCAAAATCATTTCAACTGCATCCTAGTCGTTCGGCTACACCTCCAACCCTGACCGGGTCCCAAGAAGTTGCAACTATTAGCAACTTGCAAGATTTCAATGAAGATAGCCATAAAAAGTATAAGAAGAAATCAAGGAACAACAGTGACCCATATACTTCGATATATAGACCATTTGAAGACCTAGAACGTAAAGCGAGGGAAGGAAGGTCTACAAAATCTAAGGATAGGCTGAAGTCTCAATCGCAGCTAAAAAATGGCAAGTTACTGTCAAACCCCCACCGTAATTCATTGAATGGAAAAGACCACAAATCGCCAAGAAACACACCTGCTCCAATAAAGACCCATAAACAGGCCATAGATGGGATGGTCCATTACAAGAAAATAATAAAGACGTCCGATATTAGTCTTCAAGAGCTAGAGGACGATTGGCTCCTTAATATGCGCACAGTGGCCGAAAGATTACATTTTTTGAAAGAAGCATATAAGGCCGTTCAATTAACAAAAAAGAACAAGACACAAGGGAAGTCTGACCCTAACGTCAAACTACATTTGAATTCAAGTGTGGTGGATTCGTCTTTGTACCTGGAAGAGGATCATCCGTCATCCAGTCAAAGTCAACCACAATTACTACAAAACGATGACGAAGACAGTGGTAGTAATAGTAACAGCAATTCTTATACCTTCTTAACAGCATCAAATCCCATATAGGGAACTATGCATCGCCACTAGCGATGTTATAGGCTTCATCTAGTGTTCCATATATACTATTAAATATATATCCTGCATACATGTTTCTAAGGACATTTCTGTTTGGAAAATTGTAGTTAGTGGTTTAAGGAACAAGCGATAAGAAATTCCATTTTCGAAAGCGAATACATCTAATAGTATAGATATATCAAACCAATATGAAAGCAGTTGTTTCTACTGGTAAGGCATACTTTTGTACAGTTTTATCTGCATTCGGTGTGATTATTTTATCAGTTATAGGATATTTATTCAAAGTAGGTCATGAATCTATGATGGGGTCAATTGACGACCCAGAAGATGGGGCTGCTGTTGCTGGTACTGTTTTCGGTGCTGTTTTTGTTTACCTTGCATTCTTAGTTTTCTGTGGATTACAAATTGTTATAATCAGAAGACAAGACAGAATTCAACTAAATTGATTGGAACCAAGTATGAAGTGCTTGTTTTCTGAACGATATACACCTAGAACAGAATTCCATAGTCCAAAATTACCATTCAGGAACTTTGAAATGGGATACTTACATTCAGTTCAATACTCGAGTCTTATACTCACCCGTATCATCAACTTAATCGTTCATAGACATGTAATTCCATCTCTTGATCGCTTTGTTTGATAGAATTTATTTAATAAAATAACCATTTTACGTTTAAAACATCTATTCTAATATAAATAGAAAATTGAATATGTAAGTCAGAAAGAGAATAGGCGGATTATAACTTGGCGACAGCGCTTTTTCCACCCGTCCAAGTAATACCACCAGTCCAATCACAGATGTCGAAAACTAATAATCTTAAATCGTTCATTTCTTCTTTGGTATTACCAGTGTTGAGTGCCCCTTTTAAATGACCCTTCAACTGTGGATTGACATCTTGTGGAATCAAACTGGCCACAACGCACATCGATGTCTCTTTTGCCGTTAAAATATCAGTAAAGCTCAATAACGGAGAATAGACATTATAGAATGTGTAGTTCCACAAATCAGGGTATGCGTTAATCATTTGTCTCCTAATACGGTTATTAACCTTGTTAGTATACACCGAATTCCAGAAAGCCGACCCACGCTCCAAGTCTTTTTGTATTTGCTTGGTGTTAATGGACAGACTCGATATTGGCCCATCAATTGTTTCAGACGCAAGTTCCTTGTTAGCTTCGTCATTTTCAAAATTGGTTCCAGCTACATCTTCCTGAACAATATCTGAAGAAGGAACATGTCCTGGATACACAGAACGTGGTCTTTCAGAAACACTTGATGGTCGCATACTTGTTGGCGTGACACTCTTCAAGATCATTAACGCATTGATGGACTTTGGTAATCCAGATAACGCGGCACACTTTAATATTACCTCTCTAATCTTGGCAGCCACCATAGTTTGCTTAGCAAATATGTCTTCTCTTCTCGAGAACTTGTAGTTAAGTGGTAACTTATCATGGTAGTTATATGGTATGAAAACATCTGGAAGATTGACCCCCACAGCTGATAAGTCTTTAAATTTTTCCGAAGAGGATATAGAATCCTGTGCAAGAGTTAACAAGTACTTGTCAGTAAGTAATAAGTTGTCCGAAGATGAAGAAAATTCCAATAACTGTTGTCTTAAAGCAAAGTGGAATACCTTGGGGATCTCCTGCGGTTTATTGACAACAGTTAAGCAAGCACAGGCAATTATATACCATGAGTTATGTAACGATGGATATTTGTAAGCAAGTCTTACAAGTCTCTCTGGTGTTAATACTGTCATTTTATCTAAAGAAGAATAATATGATGGACTTTGAAGTGTCTAGTGTGTTTTCTTCTAGAAATCTGGGGTGTCCTTATTATTTTTCTCATGCGAATTCATTATCCGAGGATGCTGCGTATTCCATAAAGAGTGATTGGATATGTAAAATCTATAGGAATCTATATATTATATCTTTAGAGTAACATTTCTATCATTCATTATTTCTCATACTTGATCTAATCCAAGACTTGGCAATTTTATCCTTTAATCTCTTTCCTTGCTTAGATGACCATGATCCCATTGACCAGAAATGAGTCAACCTATCAAACACAGGAGCTATACGGGCATTAAATTGCCTAAAGGGTATATCATGGCCTTCTGAAAAATCTTTGGGCAAAGTATCAACAAGCATTTTGTTTGCAATTTGTCTCACTGATCTATTATCTTTGATTAGTTTGTCAATTTTTATATCCACAGTTCCAATGTCCAAATTTGAACCTCTTGAAGCAGTATCATAGATGGAATATGATTTCTTTTCCCATGGCCTCATAGACTCGTCGATGGGAACCCATCTGCTGGAATTTTTCCATGTTTCTGAACCAACCATTTCTTTTATTCTCAGTACTGCTCTTTTATAAGCGAACTTTTCATCCTCACCGGTGAATGCCTTCAAGTTTTTAAAATTTACAGGGTTTCCATGTTTGGAGTCAGGATCATCATTTCCACTTCCAAAGAGTCCATTTGTATGTTCAGTATGTGCTGATGTATGTTTTTGATCATAAGATGAGACGTTTGGTCTGTATGGGTTCATCATGTCAATTGTGGTTCTTGCAAACATTTCTTCATCTTGAACGTCCAATCTATTATTATTAAGATCACTTTGCCTTTGAATATGATCTGGCAATTTTCCCTCAATCTGGTCAGGGAAGAACAAATAATCTACTTCGACATCACTCCGCATGAATAATTGACATTTTGCCTCGTACATCGCATCTAATAACGTAATGAACCTTCTGGCTTCGTTTTTCATTTTAAGTGTCATCATAGGGACATTATCAAGAATAATAGTTCTGTAGCGAGATGCCAAAGTGATGTAGTCTGAAGATGAAAATAATCCTTGACAGATATACGAGAAATCCAAATAACATACTGTATCGCTTTTGAACGTCATGGGAATATGAGTGGTTCTACTGTAAACAGTTAAAGTTGAAGGAGTACCACCTAATGTGTTTAATGGACTATTATCGGTGACTTTAATCGATTCTTCGGGAATTCCCAAAGCTTTAACTTTAACCAACTTTAGCCAGTCTCTTTCGTGGTTCTCATTCAACAGCTTATCTATCAAGTACAGATCTGTAGAGAGATTTGAAAACTCAGATCTATAATCTTTCGATGATCTCATATCAACTGATTGGCACCTTGCATGTAATATGCCAACAAAACTTTTAAATTTAGTCTTATGAAAATCATTTGAATAAAGGTCCTCAGGCAATTTGTTTGATGTTGCGACTAGAACACCACCTAATTTGAAGTAGTATGTAAATAAAATCTTAATAATATTTGCCGATGCTATATCTGGCAACATGAATTCATCTAGCATTAATATAGTATTTTTATCAATCATTTTCTGAGCAATTTCAAACAACACAAATTCATTCTCCATACTCATTTTCCGTTCGGCCTTATTATTAGACATTACACTAGTTAAATGCCTTTCATTTCTTATCTTATGCATTTCATTAAAAACCCATAGTATGAAATTATTGTAATGCCATCTCATTTTAGATTTATGAGGTAAAGAAGCTGCAAATATATCCATAAGCATGGATTTTCCACATCCAACCTCACCATTAACCAATAAGCCTTGTGGTGATTCGAAATTATATAATTCCTCTTCGTCTGTCATAGTTCGTACCAATTGTCTCTTCTCCGCCTCAGGATCTTTACGAAATATGTTTTGAATAGATCTTAGATTTAACTGTGGCACATTCCTGCCCAGCTCTCTAATAGCTGCCTCAGCATGCTTTAATTCGATCTTTCTTAGAAGCAAACTAATCTTTATCAGAAGTTCCTCCGGTGGTGAATAGTCTATAACTCTGTGGTACAATTTTTGAAATTCCTTCATTACTCTTAATTGGGACTCATCCTTTTCCAATAATCCCTGTTGAACATAGTTCTGATATAATAAAAACGGGTCTGTTATGGCAATGCTGTTTTCTTCTATATTCTTTAAATCTGACCTAAATGATGGTGTTCTTCGATCAACGCCATGAGGACCAGAACCAATACTTCTAGTATGATAGAGTCTTAAATCACGAGGAAATATATTCAGTACCGAGGCTTTATATATGCTTGTCCTAAAATCCTTGAATACCTTTTTACTTGACATAATAGTTGGTGATATTAGTTACTGTAAAGAGAAAGAAAACCTTCGGTGGACCCCAGTTTAAATTTTATCTTATCCGATCAGTGGCTCTATTCCGCGAAATATCGGATCATCGCTACGCGAGTATATACGGTGAAATTATTGATTAGTCTATATATGCAAATGCCTATTTATCACCAGCAGTACCCTTTGTAGTATTAGATAAGTTCATTTGGGCAAATTTACGATCCAAGGAATTAGATAAGCCGTTCATTTCTTCATCAGACCTACCATAAAGCTCGTACCACCATTTGATGTCAGTGAAATTAAAGAATAATACACCATCATCTTGCAGACCATCTGATTCCGGAGAGTACAGTTTATTTATAAACTCAGCTGGTCTTGAGTTGAAATAATCCCACACAGAGACAGTGGATTTACTGACTTTATTGATTTCCGATTCTCTTTCACTATCACATAAGAATGATCCATATTGACAAGAATAATAATGATAAAACAAGCGCTTCAAAAATCTACTGTTAAATTCAAAGACTGAAGGGTTCTGACGGTACAATTGGTAGACACAATCCAAGAACTGGTGGAAAATTGGAGATTTCTCGTTACTCCCAGCATACGGGAATGTGGATGAAACAGACTTACCATTCTCGGGGCCATCTATGTCTAAGTTAGACTGCGAGGATGCTGCAGAAGCAGTATTCTTTATATGATTTGCAGCTCTTTGCAAAAAGGAGGTAACGGTTTTCCCTGTATTGCTAATACCAATTACAGAGCTTTCATTTGTTTCAGAACTTTCTAATGATGGCAGCGACAGTGATGTATTTTGGTATAATTCCTGTTGCTGTTGCTTCTGTATAGTAGCACCAATGCAGCCACCGTGGTCTGCCCTGGTGAAAAATTTAAATCCAAAACTTACCCATTCCTTTTCAATAAGCACCATAAATCCTTTCATCGTTCTGTAGTAAGGATCAAGACACAACTGCAGCAACGCAGATACTTGTGATGTACGATCCCATCCATCCGAACAATGAATGACAACATTAGTATTATTTAAGTGAATAGATTTTGTTATGCGGTCAACGGATTGCAAAATTATAGAGAGTCGATGCAACCACTGAGTTTTTGTAAGAGAATGCTGAAGTAGCGGAAATGCAGATCGCCCATCGGTATTTGAGGACACAGGATACTTATCCAACTCGTTCAAAATGAACGTGAGTTTGTTTAATGAATCTCTCATGACATGGATATTGTCAATGTTACAAAATATCTTGTCTACTTGTCGCAGGGTGCTTTCATCATCATTGGTGGCTTGCTCTTTATCTTTCGAATTTTTCTTGGACCTACTGGCACGGTAATTATCTATATTCTCTGTCCCAGCACCTAAGGCATGTTGTGCCATTGCATTTGTAATGGGCCTTAAATCAACAATCAAATTTCTTTGAGGTTGGCTTTGTAAAACATCTTCAGTAGATAAGGAGTCAAATCTCTCTCTCTCTTGACATTTAAAAATTTCCCCTATAAGCTTCTCATCTTGAATTGATCTATTCTGTAGATTCAAACCAACTAATGGTTGGGAACATCTTGCAATCACATTACCATTTATACTGGCTCTATGTCTATATACAATAGACGGTATTCTCAGCTTTGATCTAAATTTACCTGCGTGCTTTAGAACATTGTCAGATATCGTAGACGGTACGACAAGAAGGTTTGGATATGACAGACAATATTTATAATCATCATTGATTCTTGAAATTCTCCAGAAGGCTTCATTTTCAGAAACCAATCCCTGTCTCTTGTATTCTGCAATTGGGTCATATATGTACCAACCTCTAGTTTCCAAGTTTTGTTCCAATGTGTTAGGTTTGTAATCAAAGGCATAAAAAGCTCTTATATCATTTTTCGTTTTAGGTGTTGTAATTAAATTGCTCAACTTCAGAAATACCTCTGCACATGTGGAATCATTAACAAAGTCAAACGAATAGTATGTGAAATCTTTGCATTGTATACGTATATGAGAAGCACTATAATGATCGAAATTCTCGTCCAGATACAGCGGTGGTTTTGGCGAACTTTCATTATTACTACCAAATGGTGAGTTATTATTGTTATTAATGCTATCTATCCACGATGATCCTCTAGCCTTGGATATTTTATCAATTATTGGATAACAAAACCATATTTCTTTTGGATTTGAAGAGTCTCCAGATGTGCTTGGAAAAAAACTAAATACAAGATGATAAGGGGATAAAATCAATGTACCTGAAATGCAATAACCTCTACGACTCAAAGTGACATTTTCTACCGTCGACACTTTCAGTTGTTCCATCCTATTCAACTAGAATGTAATATATTATGGTTAGTTGAATCTTGATGGTATCTCTTATCAATCATATTTTAACAAATCTCGACTTTCTAATCAAGCGGTCATACTAAATCGAGACATACATTTTGTGTATAATACGAAAATTATATACATACAATTTCTATATCCTATAAATCATCAAATCTACGTATACCATGTTCATGCTTTTGCATGTTTCTGATTTGTTTAGTTGACATTTGCTTAGGTTTTAATTTTTGCTTCTTTTTATTAGGTTCTTCAGTGTCTTCATCGTAATCTTCTTTGGTCGATTGTTCTTTAGTCAACTTGTTTATATCAATGACTTTTTTGTTAATATTAGTCTTATTAGATATTTCAGGAACATTAAATCTCTTTTTACGAACGATTTGTAATGGCTTTGTCGGTTCTTCTTTATCGACTTGCTCTACATCACTATCAGTTTCAATATTGTCATCATTTGAATCAGAAAGCGCTACATCTTGCAAAATTTCCTCCAGACTATCGTTTCCATTATCACCGTCCGAATCATCTGAGGCATCATCTTCGCTATCTTCATTAAGAGGGATATCATCGTGGTCGTTTGCATCGCTATCGCTATCATCGCTATCGATATCACTGTCACTGTCACTGTCATCAATATCGCTATTCAAGACTTCTTCTTGGTTTGACCATATCTTCAAACTATCCATACCTGCACTAATAAGTCTATAGTCATAGTCAATATCCAAAATACCTACTTCATCAGCCGCTCCATATTTTCCACCAGCAGATGAATGTACTCTTGTTTCAACAACTTTTCCCTTCTTATAGTTAATTCTATGTAACAATCCTTCACTATCACCACACCATACAGAGTCCACCATTTCTCCATCATCGCAATTCATGGTAGGGATGATGGCATCAATAGATGCGTCCTTATTGACTTTAATACGAGATAACTGATCCATGAGTCTATTCTTTGAATTTTTCCAAATAGTCACTATACCTTCTCCGTGAGATACTAATACAGTATCATTCTTATTATCATTGACGTGATCCGAAGCAAAACACATTGAAAGCAATTCATCCTCTTGATCATCGGATTGGGTTATAATACCCTTACGAATATCAATATGTGATAAAGTAGTGGAACCAAGAGTTAAATAATGGTAAGCCGAAACAGAAGGCATTGGTAGAATGTGGTTAATAGAGTCATCATGTGCCTTTGAAACGTTGAATTTCAATTGGTTTGATGCCATGTTGTTGCTGTCATAAACTAAAACATCACCATTTTCAGTTCCCGACAATAAAAAGGGATGCGATGTAGAATGAGCAAGCTTAGTGATTGCATCTTTCTTCTCAGAATAGTGATCTGATATGGTAGCCTTAGTCACTACTTTTCCTGTTTCAGTGTTAGCTTTTTTAATAATGTGGTCTGTGCCTACTGAATAGATATTTTCACCCAATGAATTTTCAAGTGGGTCAAAAATAGCAGACCTACAAGACCCTTTATGTCTTTTGGTTTTCCAATTATTCACAATGTTTAAACAATCTGGGATCTCCGTATTATCTTCGATGACTGTCCACCACTTCTGTTTCAGTTGAGACACAGATTTGTTGATATTAGCTATTTTACCTGTCTTAAAAGCTTCTTTCTCTAATAAAGAAAGCTTTTCACGTCTTGTGCTCTGATCTTCTTCTAATTTATCAGCATCATATGAGCTGCAATATATATGCCCAGTAGCCAATCCTGATAATAAAATTGGTTTGGTCGGATGTGCAGCAACTGTAAATAACGGTTCAGGATATTTAAGCTCAACTATTGGTGAGACAGATGATTCCAATAACCTGGCTGCATTAGTGGCGTTTGACTTTTTCTTCTTTGCCATGTTTTTTCGTTATGGTTTACACTAGGTTAACGATAAAAATAGTTCATAAGATGAGATGAGATGATTTAAAAATGCGCATTTGGTTAAAATCGCTACATATCGAATTGAGCATTATCTAGGACCACACCCGGCATTTGAGCTTTTATTGCATTATACTTTTGCAAACTACCAAAGGCTAAAATAATGAAAAATAAAAATACACATATATATAACAACAAATTAGATAAAAATCTAAGAAGCTATCACCTAACTAGTTTTAAAATATATCACCACAATGCTCTAACTTTCCGTCCCTTCTAAGTTTCCAATACTCATCTTGGAATTCCCAATAATCATCACCAGTAACAGGATGCTTACTCTTGACGAACCAATTTGGTTTATAGGATTTCTTAGCTAACTCTCTATTCTTTCTTGCTCCTCTTTGCTTCTCCTCTACTCTAACCTTCTCATCGGATGCAAGGTCGTATTTACCATCTTCCATCGCTCTTTGATCAGGTCTGAGTCTAGTATCAGTTGGAGGTAAATAACGCTTCAAGTTGTTATCAATACCATTTAAGGTTATGGCGAAGGAAGTTAAATTAAATGGCACTTTAGGTCTTGGAGCTGCTTGCCAAACTAAGAATTTATTACCACTTTCTGGATCATTCGAAGTCTTTGAATTACCAACGGATTCAGAGTCGACCAATGAATTACGTCTTTTATTTTCTTCTTCGGGATTACCAATAACTTTCTTACCAAATATTTTAGAGTTCCAATGACCACCTATAGCCCAATGCGTCTTACCAGATTTGTCAACAACATGTCCCGATAACTGATAAGCTGACGAAGCTCTCCAACCTCTTTGTTTCATATCGACAATGATCTTATCACCAGTTGTATGATTTGTAACTTCCATCTTACCAAAATTATCTACTGTTGGATTACCAACCATAATGCCAACCACTGATGTGTTAACTTTCTTCCAACTATACAATTCCTCATCAACAACTTTGCCTTCTTTATCTTTAACTCCGTTATTAGGTCTTATAACACAGAACATTTTACCAAGATGTTTGAAATCAAATGATCTACCCTTAAATGCTGAAGCAACAGCATTTTCACCATAGTAATCCCAATTCACTGATTCTGCACTACATGCACTGATCGGTGGATGGTGGCTTACCTGTTCCACAATTAATCTGTATTTATGATCTGGACGACAATATTCAAAAGTTTCTCCTAATAGTGGATTGAAAGGTTTAGCAATTCTGTTAATAGTAGATGCGTATTCTGATGCAGCAAACGCAGCCACATACACCATACGTAAAGTTGAATCATCTATTTGGGCCGCCTTATCTAATAAGGTTGAGTATTCAATATCTTCTGCCAATCTTTGTAACAAAGATGTACACTCGTTAAAGGAAACAGGTAATGTCATTTTTGTCATATCTTTACCAATCATAGATTTCAAAATTCCCCATAAACCGATTTGAGGTCTATTATCTTCACTTAAGCCTAACCTATCTCTTGGTGGGTTTTCATAACCCAAGAAGGAACCTTCCTCGTTAATTTTATCAAGTTTATATTTCTGACTCTTAGTGTATACTTCAGCCTCAACAGCATTTAAATCGTCTTCTTTAGAAATATTATCTTTTGATTTTTCGACCCTTGAATCATCATCAACTTTCGTAGCAGTTGAATAAGTAGATTCATCATCATTATGTCCACTTGCAATAGCAGCACCACCTGCAACACCACCCGCAACACCACCTGCTATAGCTGCCTTGTTAGTGGAAGGTCTTGTATCATTATCGGTAGAGAGGGCTGTTTCAGTTTCAAGATCTTCATTGCTCTCTTCAAATTCATCGGCATCGAAAAATTCATCCTCTGAATCGTCATGTAAAATGTCTTGCACAACTCTGCCATTATCGATTTCATCATGGTTTTCGAAATAATCATTTCCTTCTGGAACTGATTGATTTTCAGTGCCTTTGGGTGCGTCTACTGATACGGATTGGTTATGTAAACCAATAATACCAGCTGGCCCCAAATCAGATTTAGCACCTTGCTCAACAACGTTTGGAGTCGAACTACCCGGGGTCCTTACGGTAGCTCCGCTTGAAAAGTATTTTCTCAATTGCTTTTTCTTGTCCTCAAATTCTAAGAGTTTCTCTTCCCGTTGTGCAATTTCGTTTTCTAGTTGACGAATAGAATTCTCCCAAAGTCTATTAACTTCTAATTGCCTCTCTAATTTACGTGATACAAATTTATCTCTTGAATTTATCAATGAATCATATTTTAAAAATAATTCTTGAATAAGGGCTAAAGTATTTGCGCCGACAGACGAGATATCTAAGTCCTGGGTATCGGTTGCCAGTGAGTTCTTGAATACATCCAAAAGACTTGACATCTCGATATCCAACAAACGTCTTGTTGAAGAAATCTGATCACCTAACTGAGAATTGCTCAAATCATTTGACGCTAAATCTCCCCTTTGATCTAACGAATCATTCTCACTATCGTACGCACCGTCTATATCATCCAAATCATAATCAGGAACGTCAAAATTTGGACGATCTTCGCTGAACCTAGATGGAATTTTGTTTTCTTTAATTTGGGTCAAGTTTGGAGATACGCTGCCAGCAGCTGGCTTGGTGTCTGAATCACCAACCGTGCCCCCGGAAATAGTCGAAAAAGTACTTGCCCTTGACACTGGACCCTCATCTTCAAAGCTACTCGCCGAATTGACAGAAACCAGGCTGCCAGCTCTTTTATGCTTGGTACGTCCTGGAATATGCAATTTGTGACGACTTTTCTTCTCATGGAATTCCTCGGGAGATTGGTGTTGCTTTTCAGGATTTCTTTTCTTCAAATTGTCCTTAGCAATTGTAATCGCATTTTGCAATGTCCATACCCACCTATTGGTTTCTATTGGATGGTTTGCTTTTAAATGCCATCTAATATCATTTTTACCAATTATTTCGAACTTTAACTTTTCGGATGAATCTAAATGTAAGGTAGCGAAACCTAAATTCAAGGAACCTCTACAAGAGTTATTCGTATCATCTTGATTAGCATAATAAGATAAAATCCCATTCTGGTCTAATACGAAATACCTCAACTTATAACCAGAAGCAAAATTTGTCCATTTTCTAAGATATCCTTTGTATGTTGGAGCACCCCCCGATTTGATTGCATTATTAGTGTTTATTACCGGATCCATTATATTTTCGTCTTTCGATGCTGATTTAATTAGCTTCTTTAATGGGTCGTTCTTTCCATTAATCAAGTCAATAGGTAATTTTCCTCTCTTGTCTCTCTTGAACGGATCTCCACCATGTCTTAAAATCCAGTCACACATTTGGATATCATCCTTTTTAATAAACTCATGCAAGACTGTGTTTCCCGTGTCTGGATCTGCTCCATTGATATCTAATAATTCAGAGGCCCTCGAATTGTGCACTAATAATGCTTCTAAATTCTCAAAGTCTCTGTCACTAAAATATTGACGTAATTTGCAAGCAGCCGTCTCAACAAACTTGGCTCTTTCAAACTGCATCAATTGAATAATAGTCATATCTTTACATAATTCCACAGGTTGCTTCTTTTTCAAATTCACAATAGTATCGTTGATATCCGGTAATGACAAAAGATATTTAACAACCTCCATTCTCGACGATAAAGCAGCAAGATGCAACGGTGTGTTACCATCTCTATCCTGTGAGTTGATGTTAAGGTCAAATTCTCTAGAATTTTTGATCAAATACTCCAATGTAGACATTGGCGCCACTTGAACCGCATAGTGTAAGATTGTTTGCTTCAAAAGAGCAATATCCGTAGTATGCGTTGTGGACGCCGTGGATGATAATTCCTGGATTATTGCTCCAACTTTATCATTGTTTCCACTTCTCAACGCATCCAATAATTTAAGCCTTAGCAATGATGCGTTCAACTGGGACATGTTTAACTATCTCTTACTTTGAAAACCAATCGCTTGTAGTCTAATGCTTATTTAAATATTATACTAGACACTTTTTTCAAGAATTTCAAATATACTAATTTGACCAATTGTTTCGTTAATGCGTTATAAGTTTATAAAAACACACTATGTTATGTTCAAGTTGTATAATGTTGAAAATTTATTTCTGTTGGATTATATGTGTCTATATATTTAATGCTGATCATAAATGAGGTTTAATCTGCTAGACTGTATATACGGAGTAAATTGCTACCTTTGAAATATCCTGTGAAATATACAAAAAAAAAACTTCATCCTGGCTGGGTTTTATCTACAGAGCAATTACACTGCATAATGTTGCTATATTTTAATTATGCTAATATCCTAATCAATACATATAGTACGATTTTGATTTGCTTCAATAGCGTTAAACAAAAGAGGCATTGCTAACGATGTTAATTGCGCCTAAACGACATTGTATGAATGCGACATTAACATTTCACGACATAACTGACGTCATATCAAAAAAATAAAATACCACACTTCGACTCTGGGTTGAGAGGTATACATTTTAATGTTTCTGCAAAAAATAGATGAGATCATGTGATCTACAAAGGTCTTCGCTCTGGACATACAAGCAGAGAGTTTGATAGCAGAACCCGGTGGGATAACAGAGAAATAGAGAATCATAATGTCAAAGGAAATATCAAAGAAGCGGACAATTGATGGAGAGTATAAGGCTTTGGAGTCTGCATCGTATACTTTGTACGTGAACAATCTTAATGATAAAATCCAGCCAGCGATGTTGAAGCATAGTCTTTATGTATATTTTTCTACTTATGGAGATATTATAGACATAGTAATGAAGGCACAAGGGAAAATGAGGGGACAGGCCCACATAATCTTTGCTAACGTTATGCAAGCTACAAATGCGATGAAAACATTGGAAGGGAAACCATTCTTTGGAAAAGAGCTACACATTCAATATTCTCTGAAGAAGTCAAAAATAATATCTAATTTGGAAAATGATCAAGAAGAATCGTAATTCAAGGCTCCTAGAGATGGTTTTAGTAGAGTAATATAAAGGAACTCGCATATTTTAGGGATCTTATGCTAGTTTCAATGAATCTTCTAATCCATTCATGACGCAATCTGGTACCCCAATACCTGTGGCGAAGCCCATTCCTCCTAGTGATAATTTACCGTTAAGCTGTTGATTCATAACTTCGAACACCTTTTGCTTCTGTTTCTCGTAACCAACGTTATATTGGGGGATGCAATCACGATGTAAATTATAAGAAATCAAAATATCATTTTCTTCGAGAGAAAGTGACTTATCGTTGACTTCAACTTCATTTCTGAATACAAGATTATACTTCTCTAAGTTGATATTGAGAACTGAGGACAAAATTTTCTTTATCGCCTTCATATTCATGTTGTTCGAAGGGATTCCTATTTTGTTATAATAATGGCCTCCCATCATTAAGGTTATTTTATTATAATTATCCGACGAAGGTCTCTCATGCAGATATAAAGACTGAACATGATGCTCTATATCTGAATCGTATATAATTCCTAGTAGGCATTCGTGATTTTGATTAGCTTTTGGAACAAGAAAGCCAAATCCATTCATGTATGGTGGTATCAATATAGGTTTGGGGCAGTAAATATTCACTAAAAATATAGATACATATTCTAAAGGTAAAGCCGCCTTAATTTCACTGTGTGTAATTAATTTGCTTAATGTATTGGTGTTGATAGTTGATCTAATGTGATCGTAATGCTGAATCTGATTATTTACAACTATTTGGCATTTTTCTGCATTAATTTCTTGTATTTTAGAATTGTAATGGATTTCTACATTTGGTTGCAGTTGTAAATATTTCGCCATGCTTATGGGAAGCGTCTGTAATCCGTGTTTCAACCTAACCATAGGATATTTTTTTAAAGTGGTAGATAGTTCTAGTAAATTACTATTCTTAGAAATCTTATCTTCATAGCTCACTAAGGAGGGAGATAACTTTTCTTTTGGAGCAGTTTGCCTCGTTTTCTTAATCATGCCCCTAATTATTGATCCATTTTCAGTTTCAAGATTAACTAAACTAGGCAAAATAGAGCGTACACTAAGCTTGGAAATATCTCCAGCATAAATACCATGCAAGATTCCACTGAGAATATTGTTGGACAACTTACTATTCCCGAATCTTCGGGAAATGAAACTTTCCACACTCTCATCTTCATTTGCTGGCAATTTACTCTTGGTAAACGGTTCCTGGAGTATTCCTTTAGGAATTCCACTTATAATACCACTACTTATGAACTTGAAAAAAGTATTTAGGGAATTAGGGACCTGGATTAACCTATTCTCTCCAGATAACAAGTATTTTCTGTTTGCAATCGAATCATGCGCCATCACTTCTATTTCACTCGACTGATTCAAGTTCCGTAAAATATCTATGATCAATAGTGAACCGCCACTAACACCTCTCAATGTTCTAGGTCCTTTTTCTAACAAAACTTTTTGTTTGTCATTATTTAATTGTAAGTATTCTGATTTAATCCATCCGCCAGGTTGGTTTTGAGATTCAAATATAGCTATCTTTATATCCGGTCTCAATTTGTTTAAAAAGTAACTAAACGACAATCCAGATATCCCACCACCAATGACAGCCACTCTGCCATTGAAAGGAACCTTGTGCAAGTTCATACTTAGTTTCTTCAGTAATATAGACTCAGATCATATTACATGTAAGAACTATTACGAAATCATGTGACTAAATTTCAATAAATATAAATTATTATACATTAATACTATACAAGATTAAGAGTTCATACAGCTCGATAAATGTCCTGAGCTTTGTTCATTTCCATTATCATTGCCAAGTTCTCAGTTGAGCGTTTTTGTTTGTCATGGTAACCTGTTGTATGATTCTCAACTTCATCGGAATGTTTCGTAGAACTTTGAGCATTAGAGTTTACATCATCAACACTCAAATTCTCTAATAAAGGCAATCTCTGATCAAAATTAAAGTTTGTCAAGACGGAAACTTGGTCATTTGATATCCCCACGTTATTAAGTTTATCGTAATGTGGACTAATAGGCGGAATACCAGTTGATTGGTTCATATTGAGTCTAGGTGGTGCATCGAGAGGGAGAGAACCACAATAACTTGCATTACTCTCTCTAGATTCATTTTCAATTTGACTTTCCTTATACGGATTTGAAGAATCTGTTTGACTAGTCTCTGTTCCAGATGTGTCAGGAACAGTCTGGTTATCCATTTCGTTTGCATACATCATAGAATCTTCTGATGGTGCAGATATCCCAGATGACCCAGAAAAATTTGTACCATTAGAGGAGGATGTGGGTGTAGTAGAAATATTATCATCTGACCCTGCTGTGCCTGGCATTGCAAGTGTTTCTCCCTTGTTAGATTCTGTTTCCAGTTTAGCCGTAGAAAGAACATCACTACCCAGATCATTATTTCCCAGATCATTATTACTATTTGATGGTGCAAATGAATTAACTAATGAAGATCTAATCGCAGATCTCCGTAAATTTGTACTTGGAGAATTTGCACCATCAACAATCGAATCAATATTAAAGACATTATGAGGTTCATATGATGCGCTCATTTCTCTTTCATACGCTGGAGCTGGTTCATCAGGAATAATTGATGGTATACGACTAATCTGATCTTCTCCTAAAGAAATAGATCGAGTGATAGGGGATGTAGGTGTTGAAATTGCCTCTTCAAACGAAGGTAATAGTTCAGTGTCGTCATTTAAAGGTTTAATAGAAACACCATTATTTTCATAATTTGGTGTTCTAAATGGAATTGAAGGTTTCGTACTTTCTCCAGTTTTTTGTTCATGTCCCCTTGGTAAGTCAATCTCGTCATATTTCGGTAACTGGATGGAGTCGTCATTACATTTCGCACTTAGTAATACCAAAGGTGTATCAACAACTACTTCATAATGATGCATCTTGAAGTTATCCTTCGGATCGGGTTTTGATATTCTGAAACAAACCTGGAGTCTATGATGAATTTGGATGTGACGGAAGTTTGAATCCGGATACAATGCTTTCGAAACTGTAGTGTAACCTTGTTGAATATTTTCTTTCAAATAATTATGAGATTCCTCTGACATGAAGGCAGATGCATTCGGTGTTATGATATCGTTCAGGGCTTCATTTTGGTTATGATTAAAATCGTTATTATGGGTTAAATTAGTTTCAAGGGTACCTATAATTGGGGATGATGGTGTGGTAAATGGTGGCGAGGAAGGATCGTTAACTGCAATGGACGCCTTTCTAGAAGTTGGATTAGAAGCATTATCACAACAATACGTATCATCGTTAAGACTTGAAGTCAATATCGTTTTATCACCCCTAGTAGTCAAAAATGGTAATGCAACATTAACAGCTAAAGGCGACGCAATTAACAAGTCTCTTGTTTCACTACTGGGTGGCTTACTCAAAGGATCATCTAGATTCAAGTTTTCAATATCCTCGTCAGACAATTGCTGTTCATAGCACGAGAACAACAAGTTATTATCAGGACACTTTATAAACTCTTCTTTGTAAGGCTCTGAGTTCGAATTTGAAGACTTATTCTTGGTTTTTAATTCGCAGACTGATATAAGCCTTTCTCTTATTTTGTCATTATTGGCAGCATTAACATGAAATGGGTCATCTCCATCATAATCATATTCTTTAGATAAACTCTTAGAGACATATGTTATCCTTTCCGAAATATTAAACTTTATTCTTTTGATGACAACATCTTTCACTAACGGAATCAACTTAACATTGATAGAATGCTCTGAACCTAAAGAAACATACTTCTTGGGAAAAGTAATGATATAATGTAATGAGTCATTCCATACCCTATCCACATAAATGGGTTTATCGGCAATCGAGTTAGCATGTAATGGTGGAGTCCGTACCATAGGCAAATTATACAAAGCTGTCACCTTCACCTTACGATTCAACTTAGCGCTGACCTTATTTATATTCACATTTAAAATATGAGCCAATGATCCGTTTAAAGTGGTTATGCTAGGTGGGATGTGTCCAGGCAACAAGATAGGTAATAGAAACACATAAATACCTTCTTTATAAACATCACCATTAGAACTTGAAGTACTTTGCGCATGTTGATTATCATCTAGTTCGTCACGGTCAAATTGAACACTAGATTTCCTGCTAATATTTTTATTGTTGTACATATCAGTTCCATCAGCCAAATCTCTAACGCTTATTAATTTGTAATTTCTGGTAATATCTGCCAATTTTTCTGGTGTGACTTCCTTTGTCTTAACGTCGTTTGAATTTGATGTATTTATATAGAAAAATGCATCAGACATCTTTGCCAGCCATTCCATATATCCAATCTTGAATTTTTCTTTAACAAAGCTCTTATTGTATGGGTCGCAGGTAGGCCATAATATATTAGTTACCGATTGAAATTCAAAATTAACATCCTTAATTGTTGTTTCTTTTTTTAATTCGATAATCACCGCAAATGTATGAGGTATTGGTGATTCTGAATCGATTTTGGTACATAAGTAGTTTGGAGAATTGAAGGATTCCATTTTCTTGCGCAACCTTTCAGGAGGTTCCATTCCTTCGATAGGTGGTTCGTCGCCATGTGAATCTAATGAAATCAGGGTATTTCTGGTAACCGGAGCTTCATCTTCAGGGTCACCTTCATGATTTATATCAGCGGCACTGAAATCTAAAACCTCGCTATCAATATGATCTTGTGGTATACCTCCGTTTTCTACATCCTCATATGTGAAACTGGCAGACGAAGCAGGTGAAAGATATAAGCAATCATGCGTGTTTGCCACATAAACTTTGGCTGATTTTGATACGGGTCCACTCAGTGAATTATTTGTCGTATTCAAGGGTATAGGCTGTTGTAACCCTAAGTCCAGCAATACATGTAGCAACTTTTTCAGGATTACCAGCGCCGTTTCCTGCTTAATTAATTCCTTTGCCTGTTTCTTACTCACATTTCGCCCAGTTGATATTGATCTGGCCCGATCTGTCGGTATTCCACTCATCACCGACATAGATTGCGATCCGTGCCTTCCATTCCTAACACCAACACCTCCCGTTCGGCCTTTTTCATGCGCCGATTCCTCTATTATGATCATAGGATTAGATACACTATTCCGCCTCTCCCCCGACTTCGACTTTCCTAACTCAAAGATAGAAGATTCAGATGATCTTCTTCCTGTAACCTTGCTTTTCAACTTATCAAAACTAAATCCTCTGTGACTCATTTTGGATATGTGATACTGGAATGGCAAGTAAACAAAAAAAAATCGGATATTCTGAAGATAATACTTTTTAGATAATTTACTTATATATATTTAAAGCAAGTCCCCTATATTCCATCTATGTACATAAAAACAAGAATAAAGAAAAGCAGGTACTTTTAGAAAGAGAGTGTGTAACTAATGTTTTTCTCATTTTATCAGTAGATAGTGCGAGATTCATTGCTCGCTATCATACTGGGGTAATGGCTATAATAAGTAAACGCAAATGACAGATTACGAGCATCGTATGATCTGCTGTTTCACGCAGCCACTTTCAAATTAGTATTAACTCAAACAGTTTTACTGGGGCTTTCTAGACTCGAGGACCCTGAGCTGTGCCCAAGCACCAGTCTTCGAAACGACTGTATTATATACATACATAGCTATAATACATAATACCTTAAGGTAATATGATTAACATTTCCTAAGGAATACTCTACATAATACTAAAGTTAAACTGGTACGGTGCAATTGGTTCTATATAATTAGACTTTGCGTCTAGAGGACCACATGCTTTGTAGAAGTCTTCGGAGCTGTTCGTGTTAGTATTTCTGTATTTCTTGAAAGAAGTGCCAATGATTTTACTGGAAATAGTCCAAGGAGTATAGAGATAATTTTTTGATTCCCCGATAAATATGGCTTACGATTGAAGCTTTAGAAGGCTGAGGACAAGAAATCAAGAAAAAAAAATCAACCCAAGAATGACTACGATTAACTCCGCGAAATATTATCTTGCAAGAAAAGTCTAGTATTATAAGCCAACAAAGGATACTATTGGATAGTTAGACATGCGGATATGAATGCTCCGATAATGGGGTCAAAACGAGCTTAAAGGGTTAAGGCTTTAAATTAGCATATAGCTAAATTTCCATTACTACGGGTTGCGACCCCTAATATCTGGGGGTCGTAAATTTACGCAAAATTAGGATCTACACATGAAAGATTCAATAGGGTTCAAGATCAAGTTATTTATTCTCCATATGCACATTTATTTAATCCAAGACTTGACTTGACCAACATATCCTTCATTAATATTATTGTATTGCGTATCGTTATCTTTATCGTTATCGTTATCATTTTCGTTATTGTTCTCGTTATCATTTTCGTTATCGTTATCGTTCTTATCATTGTAATCAAAATCATTCTCATTTCTAATATTGTTGGAGGTATCGCTACCACTCTTGCAAATTTTATTATCGCTATCTTCGAGGTGGTTCGTTGGGTTGATTGGAACAAGTACATTAAGCTTCGGATTCGACTTCGGTACAAGACACTCACTTCTTCTCTTTGGCGTAGTTACATGACTAGTAGAGTCAAACTCAGCCCCATTGATGAGCGAATCAATTAGCAGATATTCACTATCATTCTGGGCTAAAAGATTCATTGCAGGAATCAATGTATCAGTTTGAAGATTAAAAATTAATTCATAAGTGTTATCGTCGTAAAGTTTGTAAATCACTAGCCGTTTATCAACCACTGAGCACATCAAATAAATAGGATCAAAATATGAAAGGGTGCTCTCCTGATTAAGCTTTCTTGAAGTAGATGCATTATTTACAATAGCCTTGCACGATGACATGGGTCCAATCTTTAAATGGTCGTACGAGTTGGTAGTTTTGAAATTTGATAACTTGATGACTCCAGCTTTTGAAATCGAATCGGTCCATAGTAAGAACTTATTGTTGTTAAAAAGTTTTAGGGTTGTTATTGAAAATTGTGACAAATTCATTACTTTAGAAGGAGTAGTATCTTCATCTATATCGTAAACAATAATACTGCCGAACTGAGTGCCACATATTATCATTCCAGAATCATTAGGCATTACACATATGGAAACAATCCAGTTAGATATAGAATCCATAGGCGATGTATGGTATACATACTCCTCACGGGTCAATGATGAAGTCCACATTGGCATTAATGTGTGAATTTGTCTCTCATTCAAGGATGATCTCAAGTTCAATGAGGTCGTTCTTCTTCTCAATTGTAGCATAGGCCTTCCAAAGTCAACAGGCTCATAATTAAGACTTATGTCATTTCCAGAAAGTGGAATTTGGAAGAAATGATCAAGTGTCTTAGCGAAGTCGTCCGCTTTCTCGTAGACGTTTGTTTCGATCTCATAAATCTTTAATTCGTTATTCTTGCCCGAACAAACAGCCAATATCTTGTTGTCACTCGCCATCTTAATTTCTATGCATGAAATAGGCTTGTGGATCAAGTATACCCTATAGCTCTCATCTGCGTCATCATTTACCAAATCTCGGAATACCAACTTACCCTCGCTAGAGCAACTATATAGATACTGCTGGTTTACAAAGCCTATACCAACTATTGAATCCTGAGCGTTCATATTCGAATGCTTCCACTCTTTATATAGCTTGAAGCTCCTCTGCCTATTGTTATTCTCCGCTAGGGTATTTTCATATAGCTGGATTAGCCCCGTTTTACGGGCTAATACTAAATACAGCCTACCTTGGAACTTAAACAGCATCATTTGCTGAATATAATTCCCTTGCCCCTCGATGCAAAATTCATTCTTAAATTTGAAATCGATTCTATCCTTAGTCTTTCGAAATCTTATCGCTGAATATGTTAGTTGATCGGTTCCGTGTAAATTACAAAACATTGAACTTATATGTCAAACATACCCCTTATACTCCCATTGGATTGTGTAGATAATAGGACATTCATTTTTGCATCAGGAATATGCTACCGCTTTATGTATTGTATCAATTGTTCTCTCTTTAAATCATTTCCTCTAAAGAGCTCCGTATTATGAAAGAACAAGATTCAAATTCACAAAACTGGGGTATCGCGCGATAATATCTATTCCTCGGCTACAGAACAATAGAACTGGCATTACGATATAAATAGGGCATAAGATCCTGTATTTCTCTGATTTTACTGCCCATTATAAATTAACTGGGGAAATGGTTGAAATAAATGTTCAAGGAAAGAATGCGTTAATAACTGGTGGTACTAGGGGTCTAGGATTACATATTGCTGAGAGTTTTGTTCTCAATGGTGCTTCTACAGTTATAATTACATCTAGAAAAAAAGATGCTTGTGAAAGTGCTAAACAGGAACTTGAAAAGATTGCTTCAGATAGTCAAAAAGAGGTCAAAATCATTGCAATTCCTTGTGATATTTCGGTAGAAGAGAACGTAAAGGAATTTTTCAGTCAAGTTTCAAAACAAATTGATAGATTAGATATATTGATTGCAAATGCAGGAGCTACATATGGAGCACCTTTGAAGGATCACCCAGTATCAGCAGTGAAAAAGGTTATACACTTAAACATCACAGGTGTTTTCCATACGATTCAATTATTTACACCGTTATTGGAAGCCTCGGGTGCAAAATCTGACCCATCAAGAATTATAATTGTTTCGTCGGTAGCGTCGTTCATAGCTACAGACTTTGGTGGAACATATGGCTATTTAGCTTCTAAAGCAGGAGTTGCCCACTTAGGTAAGAATTTGGCATTGCAATTAGCACCACGCAATGTGACTGTGAATACAATCGCACCTGGTTTCTTCCCAACTAAAATGACAAAGGGTTTAATGTCAGCAAAGAACACTGAAATGATCGAAGGAAATCCTCTTAAGAGGCTTGGAACTAAATCTGATATTCAAAACTCGGTACTATGGTTATGCTCAAAGCAGTCGAATTATATTAATGGTATTGTATTGCCAATCGATGGAGGCTTACACTTAGTGGGTACTTCGAATTTAGCTCACTTATAAATGATATATATGGCTTAGTACTCTATACGTATTAATAATGAATGAAATATTGACGAATTGAAATAAATAAATAAATAATGATCGACGATGAGACTGGAAATTCTTAAAAGTAGCCTTGTTCGTCGAAATAGCTTCTTCCACCTCTTAGGGGCTTGACAATATTCAAGTTCAAACCTATCTTTGGTGATACTGGTGAAGTTGGTGGATCATCCAGAACTGAGACAGCAGATGGTTTACCGCTTGTACTTCCTGTCTGTAAAATAGCATATTTTCCGTGGTCATCGTTATTTCTTATTGTGTTATAGTTCTTGTATGTACTATGGCTATCATCATTGTTAACGGAAGCAACTGAAGTTTCTGTTTGTTCATTAGATTTCTGTTTTGCGTAGGCATCCAATCTCTCTTTAATTGAGCTAAGCTTTTGCTCAAAGTTCATGCCATCTCTCAGGACTTGAGATTGTTGCTCCATTAAAGAAGATTTCAACTTCTCAATTTTTACATCTCTTGATTCAATAATTTTCTCGCTTATTAAGAGATGCTTTCTTAAATTAACATTTATTATTTCAACATCATTTAACTTATCATTGAGCTTATGCAATGTATCTTCTAACTTGAATAATTTTAATTCTTCTTGATGAGATACTTTTAAATTTTGCATCTTCATACTTAGCACAGTATTTTCCAACTCTGCTATCTTAGCATCCCTTAATTTTAATTCATCAATAAGCTGATGGGATTTATTTGACCTGTTTGGAGAATTCAGTGTTGCAATTGGTATTTTAGAAGGATAATCTGTAGGTGATTTGTCTTCTCCCAAATGAGTAGCGTAGGATTTACAGGGTGTGTGAGGTGTGATGCCCTTTCTTTGTGATAATTCACTTTCTAATTTTTGAATATATGCCTGATTCTGTTTATTTGTCTCCTCGAGCGACTGAATTTTTAATTGTAAAGATATTGGACTTAATTCTGTATTGATATGAGCATTATTTTTAATCTTTTTTGCCCGAGAACCAAATCTCAAAGTTGATAATGTCTCGAGCTCATTTATTGATGAAGGTGAACAGTTTATTATTAAAGATGTTCTTGAATTACCTCCTAAAGACTCCTGCAAAATCCTTGTTAATTTTGAATCTCTATATGGAATATGAGATGATTTACCATCTGTTAAGGAGTTTATTACATTACCTAGAGCAGAAAGTGAACTATTAATCTTTTTAGCTTCTTCTAAAGTCTGACCCATTGCACCTGTTTTATCAACTTTTTCTGATCCTGCTAAATCTACTAAGAATAAATGACTCCTTTTGATTGTATCATCAAATAATTGCTTTTGGGACAAGTTGATTTGTAAAATAGCATGCGATCTAGAAGACTCGATATTCATATTTGTTATTGAGTGAGATCTTTCCTTCGATCCTTGACTCAAAACACTATATAATTCATTTGATGAGGATACAAATGCTTGTGACAATCCCTTAACATGAATGCCATGCACTTTATCCTCCTGTATAATGAACTTACTATTTGTATCTGATCTTGGATCTAGCAAGTCTCTGATCTGTTCCATGTATATCTCCATATATGACACTCCCACTGTATATTCTATATCCGAGGAACTATTATTTATCTTATCAAAAATTTCGTTGCATATTCGAGGTATGATCCCTTGTTGTTCCTTATCACTGATTGAAGGCCCCATCATAGTGTATGATTTGCCAGATCCAGTCTGACCATATGCTAAAATAGTTCCATTATAACCATTTAAAAAATCTTCAACTGCCTGGCTTATAGAATATTGGTATATTTCTTGTTGTGTGGAATCGACATCAAACACCCTATCAAAAGTATAGGTTGTTCTATTCTCTCTACTCCCTATCAATACAGTTGCATCATTAACAGGATCTGCGATTGTTTTGCCCTTGGATTTCTCAAATTCATTGGAAGGTCTAAACCGACAAATGACCTTAATATTCGAATTTCCCAAATCATCTCTATCACAGGGAGAACTTTGGTCTGGTTTTGATCTATTGATTGTTGTATCATGAGGCCCACATGGGCTCGAAGAATTGGACATAGTGTTTAACCACGTCACTTTAACTGGCTATCTCTATTGAAAAGCCTAACCGCCCCGTGTAATCGTCTAGTTCTAACAAGAACAATACATACTAGTTTTACAACTATTTATCTATTCAATAATTCTCTTTTGATCTGATGTCACATGATATGCGGCTCAAAAGACTTTCAACGACTTTCAATAATGTCGCTAGACGGTGGGGCCGAAGAGGGGACTATAATCCGAATTGTCTGCAAAACTACTCGTAATAGTTGTTATTCTTCATCACATATAGCTGACAGTATCTCTATTACTACTACTTTGGACATCTCTTCTGTTTTTTTGATCAGTTATTGGATTTTCAGTCAACATTATTAGCAGAGCTCACCAACCATATGAATACTATGATGATAAATCTTGATTCGAGTAAACTTTTCCTAGTATGTAACAAGAAACACGGACTGGCTAATTGAATCTTGTGCGTAATCTATAGAGCTTTTAAGGTATAATTACTTCTATTTAGGCCAATCGAAGTCTTCCATATTGCACAATAGGCATTTTGCTTATTCTGCAGCATCCGACACTTTCTGACTTGAACATTACAATTAATCATTACACATTATCTATACTATTGACCTGCATTCACAACGGAAAATCTGATACAAGTGCTACGGCAGTTTACTTCATACATTAAATGTTGCATCCATGCTATTATTTTTGCTCGGGATCTCCACTACCGATGGGTCAGAGTCAATTTGACTGGGGAATCTGAGTCAGTTCGACTGGCTTATCTGCTTTCCTATATTTCAGATAAGATATTCCCACTCCAGATGCAACTATCATTACACCTATATACTTGAGTAACGGTACAGTGTCTAGGTACGAATGATACACCGAAATGGGCCTTTAAAATGCCCCTATAGTCTGAACACGTAATTTCCATGGCCATGCAAAAATTTTCATCAATTTGTATATTTCACGTGATTGATTGTTAGTCCGAGAAATTACTCATAGTATGAAAAATTGATTTAATTAATAGATAAACGTATAAAAGATATTAATATTTCTTTTCAATTAGATTGAAATTCAATTACTATAGTATTAACAAATGTCTGTTCCACAACAAATCGGTGAAACTTTTCAAAAAGCTATGAATCTTTCGGGATCCCCAAATGCTGTTTCAACTTCCCCTACTCAATCATACTTGAGTCAATATGTCTCATCTACTCAAAAACCAACCAAAGCTTTGAAGCCATTCTCTACAGGTGATATTAAAATTTTATTATTAGAAAATGTGAATCAAACTGCTATCAGCATTTTCCAAAATCAAGGTTATCAAGTTGAATTCTACAAATCATCTTTGGGTGAAGAAGAATTGATCGAAAAAATCAAGGAAGTGCATGCTATTGGTATCAGATCCAAAACCAAGTTAACCGAAAAGATTTTGCAACATGCCAGAAACTTGGTAGTTATTGGTTGTTTCTGTATTGGTACTAATCAAGTTGATTTGGAATACGCAGCCAAATCAGGTATTGCTGTTTTCAACTCTCCATTTTCCAACTCTAGATCTGTTGCTGAGTTAGTTATTGCTGAAATTATCACCTTGGCTAGACAATTAGGTGATCGTTCTATTGAAATGCACACTGGTACCTGGAACAAGGTAAGTGCTAAGTGTTGGGAAATTAGAGGTAAGACCTTAGGGATCATTGGTTACGGTCATATTGGTTCTCAATTATCTGTTTTAGCTGAAGCTATGGGTATGAACGTTATTTACTACGATGTTCAAATGATTATGGCTTTAGGTAACTCTAAGCAAGTTGACACTTTGGATGACTTATTACAAAAGGCCGATTTCGTTACTCTTCATGTTCCAGAAACTGAGGATACTAAGAACTTATTATCGTCTCCACAATTTGCTGCAATGAAGGATGGTGCTTATGTTATCAATGCTTCTCGTGGTACTGTCGTCGATATTGCTGCTTTAGTTCAAGCTATGAAATCCGGTAAAATTGCAGGTGCTGCTTTAGATGTATACCCTCATGAACCAGCAAAGAACGGTGAAGGTTACTTCAACAATCAATTGAACAGCTGGGCTTCTGAATTATGCTCCTTAAGAAACGTAATCTTATCTCCACACATCGGTGGTTCTACCGAAGAAGCGCAATCTGCTATTGGTGTCGAAGTCGCCACCTCGTTAACTAAGTATATTAACGAAGGTAACTCCGCTAGTGCCGTTAACTTCCCAGAGGTCCAATTGAGAGCCTTAGATTTAGATCAACAAAACTCTGTCAGAGTATTGTATATCCATCAAAACGTTCCTGGTGTTTTAAAGACTGTCAACAATATCTTATCAAATCACAATATTGAAAAGCAATTCAGTGATTCTAGAGATGATGTTGCATACTTAATGGCCGATATCTCTGACGTCGACATCACTGATATCAAATCCTTATATGAACAATTAGAGCAAACTCCATATAAGATTGCTACTCGTTTATTATACTAAACGCTTAAAATTATGAATTTTTATTTAGAACTTTTTAATTTCTACATCTATTTAATATATATTATCTACTGAATGTTCAGGCTAAATGAACAAATTAATAAATAAATTATACTTTATCCATGATTTGTAATCAAAACTTTTCCGTCTTTCAATCATACGACTTATCAACCGATTTTCTATCTTGGATACTAAACTGACCATACACAACAATGCTAGGAGAATACATACCATCATAATGTTCATCTTCAGTTAAGTCCGTATATTTATGACCGGGTAATCTTTATTTAGTTTTGTGGCATTTTTGATATTTGGATTAGCGCTCGAAGAAACAGATCGATACTTGGTGGCAATAGTTAGTTATCACATCAATAACTATTCTGTTTACTTTAATATCTTTCAATTACTATACTGTCATAGAGATTAATAGCATCATAGAATGGCATTAGTTTCAGCAACTCCATATTTAGCTTTGCTAAGTGAACAAGATCCAAGTTTAAAATCATACGCTTTAACATCATTAAATGAAATAGTAGATCAATTATGGGCGGAAATTGCTAATAATATAACTGATTTAGAAGAGTTATATGAAGACAAGTCTTTTGAAAAGAGGGCTTTGGCTGCATTGATTATTTCTAAGGTTTACTATAACTTGGGGGACTTCGAAGCTTCGGTTAAATATTCGCTCTTTGCAGGAGATGAATTCAATATCGAGGAGCAATCGCAATATATTGAAACAATTGTATCTCAATGTATTAATCTTTATACGTCTTTGTCTCAAAAGAAATATGAGGATAAGACTGTGGAAGTTGATACCCAATTGACCGGTATTTTCGAGAAGATGGTGGAAAAGTGTATTAAATCAAATGAATTGAAGTTGGCATTGGGCATTTCATTAGAAAGTTACAGGTTGGATATAGTCCAATCAATCTTGAAGGAACAAATTAAGATAAATGAAGAAGTTTGCTTGAACTTAATAAACTATGTTCTTGTTTGTTCGAATTCGGTAATTAAGAACAGCAATTTCAGAAGTGATGTATTGAATTCATTAATTGAATTACTATTATCATTAAAAACTAACCAAGATTTTTTTACCGTTTTTAAAATTATAGTGCAATTGAACGACTCTAAAATGGCTATTCAACTTTTCAGGGAATTAATCAAAACTAAGGAGAACTTAATAGCTTATCAGGGTGCTTTTGATTTAGTAAGTACTGCTTCTCAAGAGTTATTGGACAATACCATTACTGAGTTGAAAAATGATGAATCATTTGGAGCTACTGAACCTGCTCAGGCAAGATTATTGCATATTTTAAGCGGTGTTCCAACCTGTGACTTGGATATAACATTCTTGTATAAGAATAACAATACTGATATTTCTATTTTGAATAAATCGAAGAACTTATTGGAAGGTAGAAGTTCTATATTCCATTCTGCAGTTACATTTGCCAATGCATTCATGCACGCTGGTACTACCGATGATTCTTTTTCAGAAAAACTTAGAATGGTTAGGTAAAGCAACGAACTGGTCGAAATTTTCAGCTACTGCCGCTTTAGGTGTGATTCACAAGGGCAATTTATCACAAGGTCGTAATATCTTGAAACCTTACTTACCTGGATCATCTGGTGCTCCACATACCAAGGGTGGTTCCTTGTTTGCTCTTGGCTTAATCTTTGCTGGACATGGTAGAGAAACAATTGATTACTTGAAGCAGTTTGTTGATGAACATGGTAACACTGCTGGTAATAATGATACAGATGTCATGTTACATGGTGCGTGTCTCGGATGTGGTGTAGCAGGTATGGCTTCGAATAGTGAGAGTGTTTATGAAGCATTAAAGGTCGTTTTGTATTCTGATTCTGCCATATCCGGCCAAGCAGCTGGTTTAGCTATGGGTTTGGTAATGTTAGGTTCTGGAAATGAAACTGCTATCAATGATATGTTTACTTATGCCCAAGAAACTCAACATGAAAATATTATTAGAGGCTTGGCCATTGGTATTGCTCTATTAAACTATGGAAGAGAAGACAAAGCTTTAGATGTTATTGATAGATTTATGGCACAAGAAAGCTCTATATTGAGATATGGAGGAGCTTTCACAATAGCATTGGCGTATGCAGGTACTAGTAATAATGCTGCTATTAAGAAATTATTACATTATGCTGTTTCTGACCCATCTGATGATGTGAGAAGAGCGTCTGTTATAAGTTTAGGATTCTTGTTAATTCGTAATTATACAGCAGCACCACAAATCGTTGAATTATTATCACAATCTCACAATCCACATGTTCGTTATGGTACAGCATTAGCATTAGGTATCTCCTGTGCTGGTAGAAGCTTACATTCTGCAATTGAGGTTTTGGAACCATTAACTAAGGATCCTGTTGATTTTGTTAGACAAGGAGCTTTGATGGCATCTGCTATGATCTTGGTGCAACAAAATGAAAATGTTTATCCAAAAGTTAAAGAATTCACCTCAAAGTATGCTGATACCATAAAGACTAAACATGAAGATGCATTGGCTAAATTTGGTGCTACATTGGCTCAAGGTATTATAGATGCAGGTGGTCGTAATGTCACTATTAATTTAGAAAATGCCCAAACCAACACTTTGAACATGAAGGCAATTGTTGGTTTGACTGTTTTTGTTCAATCCTGGTACTGGTTCCCGTTTGCACATTTCTTATCATTATCATTTGCTCCAACCTCCATTATCGGTGTGAACGAAGATTTGAAAGCACCAAAGTTTGAACTCAATTGTCACACGAAACCAGAAGTTTTCCAATATCCACCAAAGGTTGAAGAGTCAAAAGAAAAACAACCAGATAAGATTGCCACTGCTGTCTTATCTACTACTGCTAAGGCAAAGGCTAGAGCGAAAAAGAATCAAGCAAAAAAGCAAGAAGAAGAAGGTGTCAAAGCAGAGCCAACAGATGATAAAATGGAAATTGATGAAACTGATAAGAAGGTAAAAGAAGAAAAAGAATCCAAGGAAGATGTGGAAGACGCCAAAAACAAAGATGAACAGCTTTCGATCCGTTATACTAAAGTTCCTTACAAAATTGGAAACCTATCTCGTGTTTTACCTGCGCAGTCAAACTACATATCCTTCTCTAAAGATAGTAGATTTGTCCCAGTGAGAAGATTTAGGGGAACGGGCGGCATCATTGTTTTAGAAGATACAAAACCAGAGGAAAAGGTAGAAGTCATAAAGACCGTAAGACAATTGAATGTCACAGAAGCTCCATTGCCTGAACCATTCACGTTGAGCGGTGATGATTTGAAAGATGATGACGAATAGATCCACTTTATTTCTAACTTTATATTTAGTTTATATAATAATTTAGATTTAAAATAAAAAAATATTAATATTACAATATTACACTTCAAAAATAGCAGTAACAGGACGATGGTCACTGCAGTATGAGCCATTACATTCATGGTCGATAATTTCATGTTTAAGAATAGGTGTACCTTTAGTAGCCCAAATAAAGTCGATACTCGACTCAGAACCGCCCTTCTCGAATCCTGTACAAGTATCCTTGAAGCCACATTTCTCATGACAATTACAAGATGTTTCAAACAAAGACTTCGATAATGTCTGGTACGCTTCTTCGTGTTCCTGACTATTAAAATCACCACTGAGTAAACTAGTTCCTTCAGTTTTACTCATAAGATCAATAATTTGGAGGGAAGAATTCTCTCTCGCTTTCTTACCCTTGTGATCATAATGAGTGTTCAAATAATTAATCACTTTTCCAGATTTTTTATGTTTCATAACAACAACGGTGACAATTCTTGGAAATGCAGCATCCCATCCTTTACTAGGATGATCGGGAGTCTCACCTAACCAATAAGTCTTACCTGATACCAAATCCCATTCATCGGTCTTGTACAAAATAGGTGCAAATTCACCTTTTGACTTACCATCATCTCTACCAACACCAAAAAAATTCCATGGTTTCCCTAATCCTTGGATTATATCATTCAATTGATTTTGTTTTACTTCTTGCAAACCAACCAAAGTAGGGATTGACTGTGAATGCTTATTTATAAGTCCGATCACACCCACTTTTCTCTTTGACCAAGGTTCTTCACCTTTCATCATATTATTATTTTCTTGTCTAATATTGTGTGTATAGATTTGAACCTGTAATGGTGGCAATTCAGCATTTCTATCCTCAACTTTTCCATGGTTAACGTCCCCTTGATAGTTACTCTTTGAATTCGAGTGATGTTCCTTAACCTTTTTTTCAGCTTTTTTCATTAGCTTATTAGCAATTGTAGTACCTAATCCCATTTTTCTTGTGTTGTTTTAGAGAAATTATTCTTTGAAAGTTATTAGAAGAAAAAGAAGAAGTATCTTAAAGTTGTGAAACTCCAGCCTTATTATTGCTATTTTGTCGTGTGACTGACTGCTGCATT